AAGTTACTAAAAGAAATTGCATGTGGACGGGTGCAATGTATCTACTTCACATTGAAATTCGTCTCATTTATGAGACAACGTACTCCTTCCGCAAACAAGTTTTTCTCCACTAACGCAAGCTCTTGGTTGAGTTGTATACTAATTAACTCATACTTACGTCATAGTTAGAAGTACTAAACCCCAAGCTTATTGGTTGGGTTCAAATCCGCAAAGGATCTTGAATTGTATCCCGCTTTGTCCTAATGCACCCCCCATGGTTCCCACCACTAATTCCTCTACAGAAAAGTTATCTTCTCGGCAGTTGCTGGTCTCAATGACTAACTGCCGACAAAAATATTTTTTATTTACATTTGATATTACTTAAGCATACTTAATTTAGTGCTCTGATCATTTCTACTTATCCAAATTTTGGCCTACTATGTATCATTTTTGTTGGATTTGTAGAATAACATATAAACTAACACCAAAACTCTCTCTTGGCTTCATTTTAATTTTTTATTGTTTTCGGTTTTCTTGTACCATTGTCATGATTTGGAGGTCTCATCTAACAATATATATATATATATATATATGTGTTCTTTTATGCCTAATCATTGAATCCAGAATGGGGTGCAACTCTCCTAGGTTGTTAGGCACAAGGCCAATTACCAGATACTTATGAAAAAGGTCGGTGGCATGATATTTAAAATAATAATAAAAAACAATTAACAAAGTAGACACGTACTCATGGTTCAAGAAGAAGTGCATCTTGCCCATGACATAATTTGTTGTCACTCACTACTATTTTTCTCAAGAGCAACTCCAGCGAGGCCCCTTTGCCTCGGGCTAGGGGATTTTTTCACCAAAAATGGGTTCCAGCGGAGAGCCTAGGCAAGGGGGGAGGTGTGGGACCCACCAACTCGGGCTGGCCCGAAGGCAGCTTCAGCCCGAGGTCCAAAACAAGGGCTGCTGACGTTAGAGCTACAGTACCCCCCACTGATTTGATTTTTTTTTTCTGTTGCCACGTGGCGTCGTATGGGCTCTCCGATTTGATTTTTTCCTCCAATCCAACGGCAGCCAATTTTTTTGCAATAAAATACTGGAAAAAATTTGGAATTTTTTTTTTAAAAAATACCCAAAATTAATGAAATTTTTTCTATAAATACCAGCCTTTTTTTTATAAAATTTATCTGAAATTTGAAATTGAAAATTTTATCCGATTATGAGATATGAATAGTATTGGCAAGTAGGAACCCGAAAATATTATTCAAATTAATTATTGTGGTAAAAAAAAGTTGTGAAAAAATAAAAAAAAAGAATAGTAATTGCCCTTTGCCATGGCAACGGGTGGAAAGAGAAAATACTATTTGCAATGGCAACTACTATTCACGTGAATAGTAGTTGCCCTAACTCCCCCATTGCCATAGCTAAGGGCAAATGGGTGGAGTTGCTCTAAGGTTCAGATTGGTATTTATCATAATGCGGTTATGTGATTTGTAGGAAATGATATTTTTTTAGTATTTAAATTAGCCGCTAACGTCAGCTTGTCTAAATAAGTCTTGTCTTTGGGCCCGTCCGGGCTTGGTGGAGCCCACCTCCTGCCATGGTTGGATTTCATTGTTGGAATAGGTTTTTAAAGCCTAGGGGACTTTTTGTCCGGAGTAGGCTTGTTACTAGAAGTGCTCTTATGTCAAGTTTTCGTATATTTTATAAGCAAAGGGTCGCTTCATGTCTATTTTGACAAAATTGGTTGATTGTGGTTTGATTTGTTGCTTGCATTAACTTATTAAGAATAGTAAATTGAGTGATTTGGATTCGAATACGGGAATATTGGTCAGTGGCCAGAAAACAGTAACAATATTTGGACCGAAAAATATGGTCATACCGTTGAAGGGGTAAAGAGCACTCAATTAACTTTTTTACCCCATAATTCAACAGAAGTAATGAAAAATGACCAAAATGCCACGACAGAGTACGCGGACTACATAATTTAATAACCAAATTCATAGACCAAAATGCAAGTCGAGGCATAAATCATTGCTATGATTAACCCGTCATAAATACTTCAAATGTTGAATTTGACCTAATTAGTAAAACGTGCATGCACCTGCAACTGCACGCCATGATTGATAGACTGTTATGGAAAAAGAAATTTTTTGTCACTTATAGATGACAAAATTTCCATTTTTTAATCACCCGTAAGACTAATTAATTAGCTGAGTCGATGAACAATTATTTGTTAATTAATCTTGTTTTCGGTTAATCACTCTTAGCCAGGGCCCAGCAATTTTGTCTTTGGCATTATTGATGTTTGAACCCATTGAATTTGGAGTAGCAGCAGAGTCAGGGCATTGGGTGATAGTAGGCCCACCACCACCAACGCAGACAAGCCCTTTTGCCAAAGAGCCCGACCCATCACTCAACGCATGCCAGATTATGGAACATGGGCCATAATTATTAGTGTCGGCTTGATTTCTTTTGGACAATGCAATATTTTAAATTCTTCTAATATACGAGGAGGGGAACGGAATTCGGATGTAAGGAGGACAGAATATCTTGGTCAACTGACCTAAACCACATTTACAATCGTTGCATTGAATCAAATGGCCATAATCTCACAATAACTGTTCAACATGAATAAATGGCTAATATTAATTGACTGTAAGCAACAACTATGAATTAATATTAATAAATGGTAATTGCAGGACCCATATCAAAATTCAACGTATCTTTATTGCGATAATATTTTAAACTCACACACACAGTAGAGATACGTTGAATTTTGATATAAGTCATTTAATTATGTCATTCAATGTAATTGAATGACTAAATCCAATGGATCTCAATTGTACTTTTCTTGAGTAAGGGATTGAAAACTATTATGGAACATGTCGGATCATGTTTGCATTGGACGATAATAATAGCTTCGATTATGTTCTTGAAGTCTTTACACACCTGCGGGGCCGGTTAATCATACCCAAAAGAAGAGTTTCATCTTGATTTACGTAAATACAAAAACACTTCGGTTGAAAACTTAAAGCAAACCCCTTTGGTCCCAAAAGGCTATGTCAATGTGTAGAATGATTGTGCTGTTTTATCAGCTCAATTATCATAAGCTATACTTCAATGTTATGTCTTCAGTATATCATGTCATTGTCCGTCAAATTATTCAACTTTGATCGGCTCTTTTTTCTGTTTGAATAAAAATCATATTCCCTAACACAGTCTTCGTTCACATTCATATTTCAAGAAATGCATTTCTAGCCAAGTATTATTGCAAGTTGCATATGGCGTTATATGTCAGCTCATTATAAATTTAAGTGGTCCCGGTCGTTTATACAATGCATGCATATTCATGCATTTTTAAGCAATGACGAGAGTGAATATCAAAGTAATAACGAGTCACTTGTTAATGAGACGATAAGTGATACATCAGTTAGTTTTCAAACGCTGGATTCAATTATAGTTTCATTCCATTATGTTATAATTTAAAAAAGAACTGCTTAAAATATAAAAGATGATAAATGAGTTTTTTAATTTTAATTATTTATAAATATTTTTATTTAAACAATGATGAGATTCTAAACTATTCTAATGTACGGGAAGGGAGTTAAAACTCAGGTGCATGGGGCGGACACCATCGATCAACTGAGCTAATCTACATATGCGATAAATTAGTTAATTTTAATAATAATAATAACTTAATTATTTAAATGAATTATAATTTAAAAACAAAAACAACAAATCAAGTGCCTATTTTCTAGGCCCAGTTTGATGTCTAGCTTTTTTGGGCTCAATAGCATTTCTTGTAGTCGATCCAAGAGAATCTGGGCCTTATCAAAAGTTGGTATGTTGGAAGAAGTGCAAACAAGTGTGATGCTCTCATTTCGCACGTGATAAGATTATTCTAGGTGGGGCCCAGTGTCAATTAGCCAATGATGGTGTGCTACGTCTTGTACCGAGCCCAGACCAGAGCGACGTCGTCAGATGGTTAGGGTTCCGTTAAGTAATTCACGCAAGGACGCACGGGAAGAAAGATACTCTGCTGCTCTGCTCCGATGCGCGGAATGTGCTATACTTTGGTGCTGCCAATCTTACAGATGCCCTATCTGCAACTCATGATACCTTTCCAATTACCTATTTTGGTAAATTCTGCTGGTCCTAGCCAAATGATCCAGTGTTTCAAATACCAACATATCCACATGATCTCTCACTTGATCTTTCTTTGCCCAAAATACCTAAATGAAACCCGAATCTTGTCTTTTCTTTACTCTAACCTTTGTTTACTAAAATTTACAATACACTTTATTCATTTAAACTTTTGTGTTATATGAATCAACAACAATAATAAGATAAAGTCATTTTGACTCTCTCACTATATCAAATTATTATCTGAATAAAATGTAAAGCAAAAGTTTGCGATTCATCGTTTTACACAAACAACGTGAAGGAAAACTAAAAGCCTATAACTTTCATCCAAGAAAAAAGTTCCCATCCTATCTTTGTCTGATTTCCTATACATTTTTTTTAATGATGAAAAACCTAATTAGATTATGTCTTCCCTAATTGGATAAAACCTTTCTTTAAATAGGACAAACTCATCTATTTTTGGTGGTCCATGCACCACCCGAACCCCGCTCACCTACCACGTGGAAACCTATCCCAGCGACTCCAACTTCCTCATTTCACTACACATCACTCTGCTCCTCTCTCTCTCTCTAACCGTAGATATAAATTTGAGCTAATAAACAAACGCCGTCACATAACCTTCGTAGTATAGCAAAGCCCTTCACTTTCAGCTCCGAAAGCCGTCACGAGTCACGACCCACCCTCGGAGAAAGACAACACTCCACACACACAACAATGAAGCAGGGGCTCGCTTTCCCCATAAAACGACCACGAAGAGCTTCAAAAACCGTACCGATCGAGTGGCGCCGGGAAAATAGCTCAGATCAACGTCTCCGACGATATAGGATTCCGGCGAGGACGGTAGCGTCGTTCGTCGATTGCTCTCTGTTGAAATGGCTTCGGAGGATGTGAAACCGAGCGAATCGGCGGTCTCCACGATCGTCAATCTGGCTGAGGAGGCTAAGATGGCGAGAGAGGGCGTGGTCAAGGCTCCGAGCCTTGCGGTTCTCAGTGTCTGCAAGTCTCTGGTTGCTGGTGGAGTCGCTGGTGGAGTGTGAGTTCTCGATTTCTCGAATTTTCGGGTGTTTGTTTCCCTGGAATGAAGTTCCTCGGAGAAAAAATTTCCCGCAAAAATTGGATTTTGTTTTTTAAAAACTCGTTTGATTAGAAATCAATGTCATTTTGTGAAGCCAAGGTATAATGACTGTATAAATTCGATCGTTTTGTGAGGTTAGGCACGAAAAAATTGAATCTTTTTCTGTGACGGCTAAGAATACTGAAATTGGAAAAAGTAGGCGAAGAAACGGATTCAATACCAAGTAATTGGTGAATGAAAATGAAGAAGGAGAAGCAATCGGAATATTAAATCTCGTCAATCGATTAAATAATTTTGAGCGTCTGCAATGTGTAGTATATAATTGGTCATGGTTTGATTTAAGTCTTGCGTGAATTTCTAATTCTCATGCGGGTATCTGAAATTTGAAATTTATGCATGCAATGGCATTAGGTCCATTAGATTCTAGTAATGTGAAAGAAATTGTTGTCTTGTCTTGTCATTGCTTATTGATATTAGCAGGATCATTTTGTGCATTGTTTATTTCTATCTCCATGCTTTTTTCATGTTGACCTTTTTCCAGTAATGAAATATTTTAATATCCATGCAGGTCACGCACAGCTGTTGCTCCATTGGAGCGACTGAAAATATTGCTCCAGGTACATTTGTTCAATTAATTGTGTACAATGTCTTTCGCTTGTTTCTAAATGCACTCAGCGTACACAAACTAACACATAAATATTTATCACATTCCTGACTGGTTACCATGTCTGCAGGTCCAGAATCCACATAACATAAAATACAATGGAACAATACAAGGCTTGAAATATATCTGGAGAACTGAGGGTTTCCGTGGATTGTTTAAAGGAAATGGTACGAATTGTGCTCGTATTGTCCCCAACTCAGCAGTCAAGTTCTTCAGCTATGAGCAAGCTTCTAAGTATGTTTCTAACAAGATTTAATGTTAATTTGTTTTTTCGTTTTTGCTTCCAGTATGTTATAAATTCATCTTTGATTTTTGTTCCATTCATATTTGACCATCAATCTTGTATTGTTTGTATGATTGTATATTCTTTTGCAACTTCTGAATGCATCGTATTGTATTGTAACTTCATATATGTAACTTCATATTACATTCTCCTACTTTCCCTTCTGCTGAATGCTCCTTGTTATCTTCATGACAGGGGAATATTGTTACTGTATCGGGATCAAACTGGCAATGGTATGTCCATATGTACCATCATTTTGTTGCCTTTAGTTGTAATAATTTGACAAGACTCTTGGGAGACCTTACATTCCATCTCGACATTTCATTAACTTTCTGCATTGGGCCAGTTAACGTTTTGACTCAGGTTGGGTTGCTGTTTCATGATGTTTTGCCTCGTAAAATGTCTAACAGAGGCATGTAACATCCACATAATCACATTATAAACCATCAAAAGAAACTATGTGACTAGTATGATGTCATTGTTGGGAAAATAACATGATCTTTATCATTCCTTGGAAATCAAACATCAACGGGTCGGTAGAAGTCAATGGATAACGTAGGTTATCTAAATCTCCTTTTCTTTTCATACCCGCAGAAGATGCTCAGCTCACTCCTCTTCTACGTCTTGGAGCTGGAGCATGTGCTGGAATTATTGCCATGTCTGCAACTTACCCGATGGACATGGTACGAGGAAGGCTAACTGTACAGGTAGTTATTTCAGTCCCTGTTCTCCTTTTGTTTCATAGGATAACTGTTTTAAAGACCCTTATATTTCCCCCTGCCATTTCAGTCTTCAATCTCAATGGTTAAAACTGAAAGAGAATGATTACTTTCTATATATGTGCACTGGAAGGATTTATGTTTTGTTGGTCTTAAATTTGCAGACAGAGAACTCTCCCTTTCAGTACAGGGGAATGTTCCATGCTCTAACGACTGTGCTCCGCGAGGAGGGCCCACGGGCTTTGTACAAGGGATGGCTTCCTTCTGTAATTGGAGTTGTAAGTTTTTGTTATTTAAAAACTCTGCTTTCACTTATTCATTATTGCCACACTTTTGATATATGAGCTCCAAAGTATAAAGAAACAAAGTCTGTTGATTGAGTAGCTCATAAGTTTTATTAAACAACTTGTTGTTCTTGCGTTTTGCTGTTCCTGTGCAGTTGGATTGGAAGTTTCTTCATATGGACAATTAATGTCACCTGTTTGTATATTATACTTCTTTTACCTATTTATGTTTAGGCATGCCATAGTAGAAATATGCGGACCTTATATTGTTGATTTTTGTTTGCAGGTTCCCTATGTTGGTCTCAACTTTGCTGTTTATGAATCCCTGAAGGATTGGTTAATCAAAAGTAGACCATTTGGACTTGTTGAAGATACAGACTTAAGTGTCACGACAAGGTTGGCATGCGGGGCTGCTGCTGGAACTGTTGGGCAAACTGTTGCTTACCCCCTTGATGTCATTCGTCGAAGGATGCAGATGGGGGGATGGAGTAATGCTGCTTCTGTTATCACTGGTGATGGGAGAAGCAAGGCCCCACTTGAATATACTGGCATGATTGATGCATTCAGGAAAACTGTTCGACATGAGGGCTTTGGAGCGTTGTACAAGGGTTTGGTTCCCAATTCCGTTAAGGTCAGTCCTAATCATCTGTTTGTTTTTTAATTTGCTTGTAGACAATTTCCGGCTGGCTGGTTATTAGTTTGTGAAAACAATTTTGTCAGGCTGGGCAAAGGGCTTAAATGAGATGAATCTTACACATGGAATTGCCATAATATCTTAGGGTGACAAGTTGCATGGGTGCGGCAAATTTAACCATCATTAAAAAGTCTCACTAGGATTAACAAAAGAGAGGTCTAGGACTTTAGCCCACAAATTCCTTTGTTTTAATTCTTATGTGGCTTACAAGCTATGAATCATGACTTGTGGTTTATGGGTACTGGATATCAAGAGGGTTTTGAATCCTTAGTATTAACTATGAACACTAATTTTTTTTGTGTGGGTAATATAAGGGGCAAAGCCCAAACCAAAGCTATGAACACTGATTTTAAACTGTTATAGAAGAGTATATGAAAGCTAGGCCCCTAGGAAACTTTGAAACTCCTTTATTAATCCACTTGTGAACTGGAACTATTGCACATATATTTTTTTTTTTTTTTTTTTTTTTTGTAAAAAAATATATGTAGGGCTGCATTCAACTTGTACTGCCTCCAATTTTCTTCCCTTGGTGTATGCTTTGATGTGTGCGTGGAATTTTTCAGTTTTTCAGTTTTAGTAATGAGTTCTAATCAGTTTTTGCAAACGGTATAATTTCATTTGCTTCAATTTTTCAGGTAGTGCCATCCATTGCAATTGCATTTGTGACGTATGAGATGGTGAAGGATGTTTTAGGAGTCGAGATCAGGATATCGGACTAAAATTGCAGGAGCTCCATGATATTTATCTTTGCGTGTGCTATTTTTGTAGGCCGGGAAATAGAGGTCTGATAAACTAGGGGTAATTTCTTCCTTTTCTCTCTGAAGCTCTAGCGAGTCTGAGCCTGTGTTCATAAATTGCTTTCCCCCCTGTTTTCCTTTTTGTATTTCCTTATGAACACGATGTAGCTTTGAAGCTTCTCATTCATATGATGTGCCAATAAGTGTTTCGACAATGTAAAACATGCTTTTGCATGCCTTATTCCATAAGCTTTGAGAAAGCATTTTCTACACTTCCTGGATCAAACTTGTTGGGTGCGTTTGCTTATTTTGTCTCTTTCAAACACACAAACTTCTTTGATTTGACTCCATATATATTTCTTGCAGAAAAAAGAAGAAGAAAAAAACATGCATTATATATCAATAATCTAATATAATGTGTTTGTCAATCATTTTCGTTACAGAATGATGCATGAAAATAGGACAAATATGATTATAATATTATTTGAAAGAATTCCAAACATGCTCCTTTCCTTTGTTTGCTTTCGTTTCGACTAATTGTGGGGGATAAGTGTAGAGGAAAATTGGATAATATATAGTTATGAGAAATTGGAAACTTTTGTATGACATCGTTTGCCATCTCTTTCCTTGCTGAACAGTTTCCTCCTTCATCGACATCATTCTTTATACTCGTCGGCCGTGCCTGGACATACATAGGAGGAGCAATATTTTATCAAACATCTGAGGATAACAAATAATAGAATTTCCTAAATCCATATGATTTCTGTTAGGAGACTACTAACCTAGAATCCCTTACTCTTGTTTGAAACCTTTGAGTTCGTCGCCGGACCGGCTTGACCTCGTCTATCTCCCGTCTTTTCTTTTTTAATACCTTGATAGCTTTAGCTCCGTCTTTTCTTCTTTCTGGCTCTCTCTCTACAGAGTTTAAGCTTTCTTCGGTTGATAAAGAAAACAATGAGAGAAACACAATAAGGAGGTTCAACTCAGCTGTAAACATCGAGTTTGGCAATTCTTGCGATGCCACCGATTCTTCATTCTGCTCCATTTCTCTGTCTTCCTGCACCTCATCAACCTTGTTGTCTAGAACTCTAGCAGGCTCTGCCATTTTACTTATCCAAACCTTCGACAACAAAATGAAAGAAATAAAAAATCATCTCTCAGAAGAAATAACAATTAAAACAAATGTAAATTTCGGGCACAAAACAAGAACGAAAGCGATCGCGGCTTACCAATTAATAACAGCGAGACTTTGTGGTTGACAAAGGCCAGGATCAAAGAGTAATATTTTGTTCTTCATAAAAGTAGGTCTCAGTTGCTTTGATAATTGTTATAGTGATGTTGTTTCTTCATAATGAGTAAGGGGACTTCGTGTATTGATTCATGAAAGACCAGATTGTACACGTAAATCAGTCACATAATTAGATGGTAAAATTAAGGCTTACCGCCAATCTAGGCTTGCATTATCTTTACAGAGTCGGAACCAGAAAACTTTCATGGGAAGGACAAATAAAGTTTACTAAAATTGTATAAACTATATTTATTTTTACCATATAAACTATAAACTACGGCAATCACCCGATTGTAGAATTCTTCCGTAAAAACAAAAAATTATCGTGAAACATTAAACACCATGTGACATAAACCGAATTAACTCAATTAAAAACGTATTAAAGTTTAATTTAACATCAAAAGTTAATAATATATATGTCCGTGAAGAGTTGTGCTACGGTCAATTGCATCTCGGTATTTTTAAAATAGGAGGGCAATCCGTAGCCTCTAGAGAAATGGTTGTTGATTGACGCTTGAGCTGGTGGCATGAACATTCCCTGAGAAAGATCTACAAATTGGGGTAGTGCTCGCATCAACATCGACGTGCGATCAGCCTCATTATGAGCCACTCATTCATTGGCTACGTGGTTCGCTTAAACCCCTCCAATTAAACACTACCCCAAAAAAATAATAATAATTCATTACCAAACACGTGCCATGCTCCGTACCGTCACCACAGTTGCATTGAATTACATAAAATGCCCCTAAAGACAGTGAGAGAATAACTACTCAATTGGATTTTTTTTCTTCTTCTTCTTTATGTGATGGGGACTGTGATTGAATCTGGTTCACCAATTTCTTCGCAACCGATCCCACACCACATATTTGCTGTTACCGAAGTTTGGCAGACTGACTTGGTGACTGCATTTACAACTGACTGAGTCACAGACCTGATTATCTTTGGACATGATGATAAGCACGGTCCAATTTAGATTTTGATGTTATCCTAAAATTATAGTCATGTGTTGGTGAACTTTGATAGGTGAATCAAAGAATTGAAATGGGATAAACTATTTTTCTCTAATTGATCTCATTCTTAATTTTAAAGGTATTTAATTACAAATTTTAACTCGAAACGAACATAATTTATTATTCTTTATATGTAAGTAAATGCATAGAAAATAAACATACTAATTATATGATTTAGTTCGATTAAGATATTTTTCAAATGCTAAACCGAATATGGTTCAGATTATGATATTTTTAGCATAAAAAGTTAAATTAAACGGTGAGATTGATTTTATTTGACCAGTTTGTATGGTTTGGATTCACTTTATCTACAGATGTTACAAAATGTGCGCAATCACAACCAGAGTTCAATTCTGATATCATGTTCTTAGACCTCATTTAGCAAAAACCAAAAACTAAAAACCTTACTTACATTATCATCCACTAATTAAATCCATGAGCACAAAAAATCTAAACATGGCAGAATCAGTAATAAAGAAAAAACATATGCCCATTTGTGTGTAAACAACTCCACCGAAAGCAACCAACTACACTAATCAAGCAGTCTCGTTCACAAATTCTCTGAGAGAGAAAATATCGTGGCTGCTTCTCTTTGCCAGACTTGCAAAAGCCTCTGAATTTTGAAAACAAGCACCAGCAAATGGAAAATATACAAACAGAGTATAAACCACGACTGTTATTATAATCATATATAGAAAGGATACCAGTCAACTTGAGAAAATTTAATCATGTTCATATCACCACGTAAAAAGTTTTAGACACTGTTGGAGATATATATATCAATATTCCACTTTTGTTAGTTTTTAGAAAGAAGAAGCTTTCCATTTCAGCCAAGTTTTTTGGTGGCTCTCTGTTCTGAGCTTGCAGGGGATTTGGTGGGCTTGCTTGCCATTGTTACTTTGCCTGGTACTTGATTCAATGGTAAATGCCTTTTCTTTTGGGTTTGAAATTTGATTCAGATTAATGGGTTTTTGTTTTTCTGTAAGTTGTGTTCTTGTTTAGTTGGTGGTGATATAAGAACTTGTTGCTCTCCGGTGATGATTGGATTGTGTAGATTGTTAAGAATGATGCATTTGTGTTGTACTGTTGCCAGAAAATGATGATGTTGGACAACTAGTTTCTTTCTTTTTCTTTTGTCTGTGCTTGTTTACTTTCACCTTTTTTTTTTTGCCCTGTTGGATTACATTTCTACATTTGAGTGGATGGGGTTTCCTAGATGGTAATCTTTGTTTCTCTAGACTTAGTTGTTCCATTTATTTTTCCGAATTTACGTAAATGGAAATGTGGGTTATGTTCTGTTGATGTAAAAGATGAGTCTTCGAAACCAGAAGTTGGTGTTGCTTGATGCTGATTTTGATACTTTTATATTTAATTAATTTTCCAACTCATTGATTATGAATTCATCTATCTTCCTTATTAGCGATTCTTTTTCATTTTGACATGAGCAGGCCACTTCACCAGAAGTTATTTATATCCATTGAGTGAAGTGCAAATGGATGGTTTTGAGAGTTTGGTAGATAAGATGGCTGCAAAGGGTGTGGTGAGGAATGAAAAACTTAAGCAAAAGGATTGTGATCCTTTTCTTAAACTGGAGGGTCCAAATTTGTTGGAGTCACCAGTGTGCACATTGGGAATGGCAAGGAGCAATTGGCCCGAGAGCTCGCCTAGGAATTGCAGTGTTACAATAGAGGGAAAGGATTTGAGTCAATGCGTAACTTCCTCATCTGTATTTGAGCCGCCCTATAAGAGCTCCGGTTCCATAAATGGCACGGGGCTTGTGGTTGAGGATATGACATTGAAACATCATAGGAAACCAAATTCAGCTTTACTTAGTCCTAGTCAGGAATGTTGGCAAGATCCCGATCCGGTAGCAAGTGCATTTAGAAGTAAGAATTTTCATGGTGATACTATGTCACAGGACAATGATCAGACACAGTTGAGAGTAAGAGGTCAGCTCTTAGAAATGCCTTCTCGCATACGAAGTCTGAAGCCTTTGTTAAGCAATCATTCAGAGCAGGAACCAGACAAACTGTCTGCATATTTAGGGGTTGAGGACAGCAAGATCATGTCAAACAGTATGCTAAGTATCGCCAAAAAGCAACTGAAGACCCAATCTAGTAATAGCCATTCTCAATTACTTGCAAAGGAAACCTTGAAGGGAAAGAGTGTCAGTAAATTTCAAGAACCTTGCAGTGGCTTTGGTAGTTCAGCTACGGACCAGAAGGAAAAAAACCTGGGTTATGGTTCTGAGGTAGCTTGTGATGCACAGTTGAAATCAATTGTTAACAGTGATCAGATTTCTTCACATGTGCTTGATAGGTCTGGCCCAAAATCTACCAGTAATGGGATTTGCTTGAGGGAGTGGCTTAAACCTGGGGATCACAAAGTAGATATAGTTGAAAGCCTGCTCATATTTAGACAGATTGTGGAGTTTGTGGATTTTGCACACTCTCAAGGTGTCGTCTTACAAGACTTACGACCATCGCGCTTCATTTTATTTCCATCGAATAAGGTTAAATACACAGGTTCATCAGCCATCCGAGAATCAAATAGTCTTATGAACCGAGATTTGATTATCAAAAGGCCATCAGAGCAGGATGCATGTGCTGAACGTATTTTAGGTGGAAAACAGCTAAAACTGAGTGAGGGTAATGAGGAAAAGTTTTGCATAGCTGGTCCACAAAATTCTGGCTATGGTGAACTCCAGTTTCAAATGAATTCGAGCTACCAAAATGCATTGGTTGCCGTACAGCAAAGATCCATTTCTGTAATTGTTCAGTTGGAAGAGAAGTGGTATACCAGTCCAGAGGAGCTCAATGAGAGAGGTTCCACACTTTCATCAAATGTCTATTGCCTTGGAGTTCTTCTTTTCGAGGTGAGAAGTTATTTTGAAGTGTTTCCACAAGTTCTTATTATTTGAAAGTTAACTTGAACAACCTGTACTTCTTGGCAGATGATTTTATTATATAATTTGATTTGAACTAACATAACTTTAGACTTGTTGTTCGCTTGTTATGACACTGTAAGTTAATTCTGAAATGATGAATGGGTAAAATTCCTTGTGCTAAGTTCTGCTATCAAATTAATGTAAGAAATAGTTTGCTCTCAAAACTGGAAAAATAACAGGGACTCAGTAGTGCCACTGAATGGCTCTTTATCCTTGTAATCAATCTTCGTTTGTCTTTCTTTAATTTTTTTTTTGAGTTATAAAGTTCTATCCTTGGGGTTGGAGTAGAAAATCTATACATTTGACTTGTTTAGCTCGTTTATGTCAGTTGCTGTGCCGTTGTGAATCATGGGAGGTGCATTGCGCGGTGATGTTGGATTTGCACCATCGAATTCTGCCACCAAAGTTTCTTTCACAAAATCCGCTGGAAGCTGGTTTTTGTTTTTGGCTTCTCCATCCTGAACCTTTGGCTCGTCCAACAACAAGGTACCACCATCTGCATTTCTTTAATTTACTGCCTTCTACTATATTTATTAACCTTGTCAGGAGTATGAAAAATCAAGGCAATGGTACCATATGATCTATATTGTAATGCTACCAATTATGAGTTCCTACACTACCATCCTTTACTTGGTTAACCTATCCAAATCCAACTTAAAGCCTTAAACTTCTCACTTTACAGCATTGTTGTTGCTAAACTCAATTATCTATGTTGCACTGACAATTGCCAACCTGCAAGCTTGTTGTTCCATTACCATGTAAATGTGTACAATCAATAGCTCTAGTGCATGTTGATGTGAAGGTATATTCTTTATTTGTTATCCAATGAAGTATGTCTAAACTGGCCACATTCTGAAGTTTTTATTTACTGGTGTGCAACAGAGAAATCCTGCAGTCTAAACTGATAGGTGGATACCAAGAATCGGCTCGCTGTGATGATTTTTCAAATTCTGCTGATAATGTTGATGCTGAATCAGAGCTATTACTTAGTTTTCTTATCCCATTAAAAGAGAAGAAGCAAGGGCAAGCCTCTAAGTTGGTGGAAGTTATAAGATGCCTAGAAGCAGATATAAACAAGTTCGGGAGGAGGCATTTATCAGGGAAATTTCCTAGTGAAAGAGAACAGGGGTTCTGTCTTGAAGACCCTGTAAGTTCAGGTGTTTCTTCTCGATTAATTGCAGCATCAAACATGAATGAGACGCTCTTGATGAAGAATATCAGTCAACTAGAGGATGCTTACGCCTCCACAAGATCCCAAATGGGGAAAACAGAAACTGCTCCTGTAGAATGCTCTTATAAGGAGGTGTTAAACAATCGATACAGATGGTGTCATGTGAGAAATCATACTCAGGATTCAAGCCTTAATCAGAAATCAGGTGATCGGCTTGGAGCCTTTTTTGATGGTGTTAGCAAGTTGGCTCGCCGTAGCAAGTTTGAAGTACGTGGGACATTAAGAAATGGAGATCTTCTCAACTCTAGCAATGTGATTTGCTGTTTAAGTTTCGACTGTGATGAGGAGTATATTGCTACAGCTGGAGTATCAAAGAAAATCAAGATCTTTGATTTTGCTGCGCTTGTAGACAATTCTTTGGATATCCATTATCCCGTAGTTGAGATGCCAAACAAATCTAAGTTGAGCTGTGTTTGCTGGAACAACTACTTTAAGAACTATCTAGCATCAACAGATTATGATGGGGTTGTACAGGTGTGTTTCCTACAATCAAATACGTAAATCCAGACTACATGTAAATTGTGCATGCCTGTGCAAGGTTTAAGTTAGTGCTTTCATTTGAGGCTATTAATAAAGTCAGCAATCTGTTTCTTTACCAATTATAAATACCATCTTCATGTATGAAGTTCAGATGTGGGATGCATCTACTGGTCAAGGATTTTCTCAGTACGTAGAGCACCAAAGGAGGGCTTGGTCTGTCGACTTTTCTCAAGCTGACCCAAAAAAGTTTTCTAGTGGGAGTGATGACTTTTCTGTGAAACTGTGGAGCATCAATGAGGTATTGCTCTCTTACATGATTTAAAAATGACATAGCATGCAAGATATTATCTTCTTGATCTCGACTTATCCTTGTGGGTACTATTTTTTGAACTTGAGCTATAGTTTGTAAGTTCAGGAGTTTACCTGTATGAAAATTTCCAAACTACAAAATCATGAGAAATGTTTTTGAATGGTATTTGTGCAGAAAAAATCAATAGGCACAATCTGGAGCCCTGCTAATGTCTGTTGCGTTCAGTTCTCTGCATACTCTTCCAATCTCTTGGTTTTTGGATCTGCCGATTACAAGATCTACGGCTATGATCTTCGCCATACTAGAATCCCTTGGTGCACTTTACCTGGTCATGGAAAAGCTGTTAGCTATGTAAAATTTGTAGATGCTGAAACCCTTGTTTCTGCATCCACGGACAACACTCTGAAGCTTTGGGATCTTAACCAAGCAATCTCAACTGGGTTGTCCTCCAATGCCTGCAGCTTAACTTTTAGTGGTCATACTAATCAGAAGGTTGGCTACTCTGCTCTTGATATAAGACTCTCAGAATTTATCATGTTTTAATGTTTTAATAGTTCTAACTCTTCATGTCCTGGTTGCTCAGAATTTTGTTGGTTTATCTGTTTCGGATGGATACATAGCATGCGGCTCAGAAACTAACGAGGTACAAATTTGTTATCCTTAGATTTCTCCCTCCGGTTATGATTATTATTTTTCAATAATGAGTTCGTTTTTGAAGGACCCTCTAGTCATACCTTTAACCATCTCATGTTGTATTAAAATGGGCATGTGATGGTGAAGGGTCTACTTAATGTATGGGCTTTCTTTTCAAAAGATTTGCTCCTTCAAGAGTAATCCCTGATACATCTTCCAACCCTTACTCAAGTTTCTATGTTATTTTAAACCAATATGTCATTATGGACTATATGGATTGAGATTTTAACTAACTATAATTTTTCCTCTCTCTCTCTCTCTTCTTTTCCCATTTCAGGTTTATAGTTATTACAGAAGTCTACCCATGCCAATCACTTCACACAAATTTGGATCAATTGATCCTGTTTCTGGAAGTGAGGTTGGTGATTATAGTGGGCAGTTTGTCTCGAGTGTCTGTTGGAGAAAAAAGTCTAACATAGTTGTTGCTGCCAACTCAACTGGAACTTTGAAATTATTGCAGATGGTGTGAGTATAAGCTTGTTCCCTAGATAATCCAAGGAATCTGTTCTTTCCTGAAAACATTTTTTATTAGCTCGCCTGTCCTGGATTTACTTTTTCTTCTTCTTGGAATGAAAAATATGATTTGAAGCACAAACTAGTCAGGTTGAAGACTACATTGTAAAAAAAAATTAACAGAGCCAGCCCTATGTGTCCTGGATGTATATACAATTATGCGGATAAAAGAAATCGATTAAAGGCTGATTATGGCACGTGAACTTCATGAAGAAATCAATTTGTGTTATCAAGAATTTCTCAAGGAATATAGATCTTATACAAGAAAGTATATATCTAGGAACATCTAGTATAGGAATCTAAATGCTCGGAACTCTAAATTTGAAGAGAAATTTATGGCTTCACTGTGATGCTGATGGGATTTTTATACTAAGTTCCAAATTCGAACTTATGCAAGTATTGCTGAACTTATTTATGCAGAAAAAAGAAAAAACATAAGATGTAAATTTTGATTCATTATTTGCACGGCTTGATCAAAGTTGTGCCACTTCTGAATGCTTTACACTTTCTGATCATCTCAGTATTAAACTAATAATGGAATTTTTTATCATGACTCATATACCCAATAAGAGGATATTATTCTCAGATATACAATCTCATCTTTTGCCCCTTGTTGAGATGAATTGAGGTTGTCTTTTTCTTGCCTTTAAGTTGTTATATCTTGTCAGAGATCATCACTGTTGAAGTCTTGCCTGCGTTAAGCTCAACGGATTCCTTGAATAAATTGTTCCTCTGCAGAGGACAAAGTTTAAAGGTACGGAAGGTTTTGCCACATAATTATATATTGTATACAAATGTTAAGCTCTTTATGACTCAACCTTGTAAGTTTGTAGCTGACTCGTTGTAAAGTTACTCACTAAAGGATTGCTCTGAGTTTCTGCCCATGATATCTTCTTCTGATTCTGAAAAGAAATTCCAATGGTCTTGCAACTTTTGTCCCCCACTTTAGGGCCTTAAAACACCTTTTTCTTCCTCCATCTTTCTCCTGGTATAGATTCCTTCTGTACATTTGAGCTTTCGTTGACAAAGAATTCTGTTCTTCAACATTTTAACTGTGGCTCTTAAACACAATCTACTATTGATACAGATGCTTGTAGTCATCAGAGCAAGCTAAAATGTTCCTATCTTGAACTGTGCTTTCGCTTGATGTTTGATTGAGCAATCCACATATTGCATGAAAGTTAGACTGAAGCTAAGTAATTTGTTGACAAAATGTATGACGTATCAAGGTCTAGGAGAGCTCAGAATCCGAGGCATGTCCAGATGATGTTCTCCGTATTCTGGGACTCATTGCCATTAGCTGGCTTTCTGAACTCATTCTCAGACTAATACTACGGCCACAAGGGCTCATCTGTGGAGGTCTGACAGACCGTCCTCTTGGTGTTCCTGTGTAACCAAAGGCAGAAGACGTCAGTTCACCGGGGCATAAAAGAAATAATCCTGTTTTCTAATGTCTAAAAATCACTTTACTCTCCTTTTCTAGTTGTGCGTAAAAGTAAAGGGGAAGTTTCATGCTATAATAATAGAGTTTGTTCATTGCCAATGCATACGATTCTCTGCTAGAAAATGCATAACAGGTGCAAGGATAGTGAAACAGGCAGAACGGAGAATCATATTAATAACTTTTGATACCATATTACTTGGTGCAATCAATCACAACATGTGTATGCTATATGCAAAGTACTAATATACTTCTAGTCTTCCTCTATGTTTTAATGTTTTTTCAGTAAGATCTAGTTTCTGCTGTTTTAGGCATTAACATGTTAGCGGTTCTAACTGAGATATCTAATTGTTTCTCAGGAAATAATCAGGCATAAATGAGTTGTGTGATTAGGGAAACCTGGTAGTCTGTTGGCTTTCACATCTGAAGATTTCTTCAAGAATGGAAGTTTCTTTTTCATGCTATCAGGTGATGTTAAACACTTCCTCTCAGGCGCGGGCGGGAATGGTTCGTCTGGAGTGGTCACCATTTCATCTCCACAGATTGAAGCTCCATCACTTCCTGATTCTGAAGTATCTTTCAAAGTTGTTCTTTCTCTCTCCGAAATTCTATAAACAAACATCTGAAATGGGATTTGTGATACTGGTGGTTGCTCACAACTCTTCCAAGAAGGAATCTTTCTCAGAATCCCTGACTCAATCTCACAGTAATCTACCATAGGCACTGGTGGGTCTAGCTGGCTGTTATAATCAGGATTCATTGCAAGGAACCTTTTAATATATCTTAGAATCCGACAGATGGATGGGAAGCTTGGCCGTAGATTAGGGTCACTGTGCCAACATTTCTTTGTGAGGTTGGTCACATATCTCAGAGAATAGAATGGGAACAACGGCCTCTCTCCTGCCCTTATGTTTCGGCTCATCTTCTCCCCTTGAAGATGACTATCCTCAAAAGGCACTTTCCCTGTCAGAAGCTCAAAGCAAACCATGCCAAAGCTATACACATCAGACTTTTCTGTGTACTTTTTCTCACTACTTTTTGTCTGTTCGTGCTCTTCCAGAACTTCCGGAGCATACCAGATGAAAGGTAGGCTTCCATTCTGATTTGAAAGGTTTTTTTGGCTGGGGCTTTTCGCAGAAGTTAAACCAAAACCTGAAACCTTGGCTTGCAAGTACCCATCTGTGGAGATGCCTCTTGCTTTAACAAGTATGTTAGAAGGATTCAATTCTCCGTGGTAGATTTTCTTCGAGTGGAGATATTCCATTCCTCTTGCAATTTGAAGCATCAGATCAACTGCAACAGGAAGAGAAAATGGAAGTCGTTTTCGTGGGCCACAAATCTCTTTGATGTGGCTGCAGAGGTCTCTGCTCATCAGTTCCATAATGAGAAAACACTCTTTCTTTTCCTCATCCGTAAACCCGCAAAGGAAGTGCACTATGTTGGGGTGGGACAGAGATAACAATGAAGAAATCTCTGGCAGCAGGGGTTCAATATCCCCAAAGAAGTGTCTTGAGGCAAAGCTTTCACCCAGCCATAGGATCTCTTTATACTGACTTCCACCCCCTAGCCGTCGCCTCACCTGGTAGTCCTTAGACCCCACCAGGATTGAACTAGGTAAGAGCTTTCCATTCAAAGGCTGTGACTCTGACCCATCTAAGCTTTTGAAAAGAAGATCTATGAGGCGTTTCCCGTACTTTGTCGAACCTGAGAGTTTCTTTTCTCTGATTTTATGGAGAAGAGTCCATCTATCTTCTTTCCATGTTGTGTCAAACCTATTGCAGAAATCTTGAGTAATCAAATATTGCTTCCCAAATCTCCACTTGAAAAGTTTCCAATCTCTATAGTCATCTTTGTACTTATCCGCGAACACGGTTTTCTTCCTTTGTATCTCATCCTGACCCCACCCTGATATTTCTCCAGCAATGTCAATTGCTTCAATGACAATTGGCATGCAGGAAAGTAAGTTATGGATGTGAAACTCAATGCAATCGGAGTTCTGATAGAGAGTAATGGCTTTAGCCCACCAATCCTTTGTTTCCAAGCAGTGCCGGATGTAGGCTTCTCCTTCTTTGAATATCCTGTGGAGCTCTCTCAACGGCTGCTCGAGAACCCTCCATTTAGTGTGCTTCTCTTCAAATCTCAGATTATATTTCATCTCCTCTGCTATTGATTCATATGCTGAGCTGAAGATATCAAGCAGCAAAAAACACTGCCGCTGATTGATTTGGATGTTGTCTTGGAACACCATCAAGGCCTTTATACTTCCCAAATCCTCCCCAATCTTTCGAAATTGCTCCATTTTAAGACTCGACCACAAAAATCTGAAAATGGAGATCAAAACTAAATTGAAGTACTCTAACAATGAAGTTTCTGAAAGAAATTCATTACTGCAGAAAGATAAGGCCTAACCAGAGACAATGGTCGGTGGAGAATGGAAATGGCAACCACCAAACGTGCAAATTGTCCTTTCCTGTAGAGCAAGAAAGACCAACAAATTTAGCTTCTTCAAGGAACAACAATGGAGATTAGGATCATGGAGACGAATTGGTTATTTTTCCAAATTCTCTCGAAACCCGACAACAAAACAGCAGAATCAAACATACCCATCTAAGTTTTCCCAGCCAAATTCAGTTAGCTTAGAGCACCAGGCAAGTTTTATAGTCTAATGAATTAAAAAAGGAAAAAAGAATGAAAGAAAAAAAGTGCTCCAGAGCGAAAACTAAAACCAGCAGAGCAGATGAGTATGCGATGTGATCTTCCTGGAAAAAGTTTTCTTGGCACTGTTTTTATTTATTTAATTATCTTTTTTTGTCAGAAAGTGTTGGATTTGGGAATTTACATGTCTTGGGTGATGACACTGGTTTGTTTCTGTGTGGTTCTCCTTCCAAGTGTTCCCGCCAACTTCGATGTCTCCCACTCTCAATTTAGAAAATGCCTTAACCGTTCTAACCGAATTTTAATACTCTTACCCGCCTTTTTGTTTTTGCTTTTACATTATTGTCCTTCCATTAATTTATTAATAAAACAAATTTCACCATTACCTTCCTTTTCACTTACACTAATTCAGTTACTAATTAAGTTACCATTGCTAGATTATAATTATAGTTTATAGTGATCTAAATCTTATAATTTGGAGAATTTGGCTCTTTTATTTATATTTTATGTACTGATATTGTACTTATGACAACCCATGACCTTTCTTAGGAGAGCAATTGTTCCAAACCACTACACCAATAGGTCCTTCGTCCCTAAACAATAAATTTTATATCCTAAAAATAGTGTCGTTTTGGGCATATGTTTCGGCTATTTTGCATTCAACCGTGCACTTGGTTACTTTGAATTACGAAATAGTGAACCCTAGCTGTCTTCTGTAACAGTGATTGTGAACAGCTAATTCATATGGTAATATGGCATTTGGGATTAAATATCATTCCTTATTTGTAAATTGTGCTGCTGTATTGGTGTTGTCTTTTTTAGGTCTTGTCCACATCAATGGCAACATAGCAGCTAAGTCTCCATCTCTCTGAAATTGGCCTCTTCTGCATTATATAATGCCTTTCTCTATCTTACCTGTGGTCCACCTGTCATTCCAACTACCATCATTAACCAATTTCCTTAAAAACATTTGGGCAATGCATGAAAATGGAATTAAATTATGTGCCTTCTTGGAGTACTGGAAATTATGTGCCTTCCCAAGACCATACTGCGGTTTGAACCCAGGACTCTGTAACCTACTTGCAAATCTGGCATTCAATTTACCATAAAATCAGACCCAGAGAGTCTTGTTGAAGTTTCTGAGTGATCAAACAAACAGATCCGTGATTTCAGCTTTGTTTAAAGTTAACAATGCTTTGCCAAGTTCACATTGAAAGGAAAATCAAGACCAGTTGAATATTTCTGCATCTCAGATGATTTTGTATGTTGAAAATGTGACTTAGTGCCCCATTTGTTGACCTCGTATGAGCTTCATACGCATTCATCTCAGGACCATACAGGAACTTTGTGAATGAATGTGATATGTGACTCAGCATTTATGGTTTCTGTATGTTGAAGGAAAACTTGGTGGTAAATGTGGTTGGTGTTGACCTGTTGTTGTGAGGCCAATGGTACTGTGGTGCTGACTTTAGTCATGTGGTGGTACTGGTTGTGGTTACTAACTTAATCATGTGAAACTTATAGAGGTACTTAAGGGTTTTAAGAAGATTAATTATGAGTTTACTTCTCTAGTAATATTGCAGAAATTGTTTTGTTTGAGAGTTGATTGCATTGGGTGTACATAGTAATTGAACCCTAGACAACAAGAATCAATAGAATCCGACCTTAATAATTTTGATTTGGACTTATCTGGTCACCGGTCATTGGCCTCAAAAGCTTAAGCTATCGGAGAATGAGCCAACAATGTACATCAAACTACCTTGGAGTGGCATACCAAAACGGCAAGAGAGACAAACATATAGGGGTGCAGCACCGCTCTGTACTTTGCAAACCAACAAAGAAGCAGGTAAAGAAAATCAAACTCATGATCCCTTGTAAAAAAAGCTCTAACATCATGTCAAGACAACCATTAGCCTAAAATTTCAAGCTATCAGAAAATAAGGAGTATCGTGTCACTGGTATCTGCATCCGATTCCACCCACCGACAAGAATTATGTGAGTGTCATGGCACCATACGTGGCCTATATTTCTTGCTTATTACACAAGTGTCTTTGTTTCTTGAATGGTTTTTATTTATGGGTAATGTTGATAGTGGGATGTATAGCTACAGCTAATTATACATTGTACAGTTGCATTTATGTATTGAATGCTATCAGTCTCAGATCACTCTGTTGATGGCCAGTTGCTTGCTAGCCATGTCTCAAACTCCACACAGAGAAATGTGTGGACATTGGACAATAACAAATAAACACGTATTAATGCTTTGCATTGAATATGCAGAGCCTATTGGTAATGAGTTATTGCCATCAACTTTAATAAGACCTGATTTTAATCAATTGACGTAAGCTCATCAAATTTTTTATTTATTTATTTATTTTACAAACGTTAGAATATTACAAGATTTTATAACGGATCCATACACTCATAACAAGGCTATACCACCACAATAAGGCTAGTGACAACTATAACTATGTATCAAACTAATTATAAATATATATCGTCATCATTATCCATATGAATCGAACCTGAGACCTCCTTCAATCAAGTGGAGACAAATACCATTAGACTAAAGGCTAGTTAGTAAACTCATAAACCTTTAACATTCACCAACATTTTCTAGCAATTCCGATACTCAAATTTCAAAATCAAGCAGATTCATAAATATAGATCCATAGGGCCCTACTCCATGAGATAGAGAGAAAGTAGGTTGGAAATTATTTAGGTTTGTTTGGTAGAAGTAATAATACCATGACAATGTATGGGCGGTTTAGTTGGGAGAGTTATTATACCATAAAAATCTTCCCTTGTTTAGCGTCAATAACTGGTTAACTGTTGCCATCATTTGTTTGGTTGCTTAGCCTTCTCTGAAAAAAGATACAAGATAAATGTAAGTGTTACATATGTATATTCATACGTATCAAGTAAATTCGAGTGTGTTTAAATTTATAAAGAATGGACCACTCGAGGTAAAAATAATGCTTGAGCATAAATTCACTGTGAGCCTTTTTTGCCATGTTATGAATTAATCATTAATGAGTGGAAAGGAGAGTGGAGGTAAGGCAGGTCTTCCACTTCGAGTTTGTGGGTAGTGGAAAACACAAAAGTTACCCAAAACATAGAGCATTATTTGTGGAAGAAACTATCCCAGAAAACGTAACGAAGTTGGACTGGACTTTCTTAGGATAATACAAAAACGACTTGGTAAATGACTTTCTTTTGGAACAAAAAGCATGTTACAGGAGAAAGTGAGAGGGGGAATTTGAGTGTGATGTGAGGTAACTATTTTGTACCACTAACACTTTCTGGCACCTATAATTTCTTTTCATATGTCAATGACTATTCAGTCTCTACTTTATTAAAAAATGTTTTGAGTTCCGATTAATAAAGTTTGTAATGAATTCAAAGCGCGTATTGTGAGGCTAATATGTAATATTTATCCATCTCCGGACTTTCTTTTGCTCTAAGATAACAAAACCTTGTTCCTATCAAGAATGTTCTCCCAATAAAACAAAGTAAGAATTAGTAAATTGCAATTCCTTGATGTTTCCTTTTCTTTGATGACACTGCTCTCCCTCTTCAAACCCATATGATGATATATCTTGTGTCTCTTTCCCTAAAGAAAAAAAAATTACCAATATCCTGTGAGTGGTGACACCTCTCTCACTAATCCTAATCAAAATTGGTTTTAACTGTCCAATTTGTATCCCAGCTTTGTTTTCTCAGCTATATTGTATCATATATTTACAGCCTCGACAATGCCTTGCACATCACAACATTATTATTATTCCTTCCTCTGGCTTTCACAATCTCTATAAATAAATACCACTACATAACTAACCAAGAACACAAGAAACACACACAGCAAACTGAGAATATGAGTGGAGGAGGCATGGAATCCGTGGCCAGGCTGCGATCAAACGGCAGTGGTGCAGCCAATGGACAGCAGAAGAGAGAGCGCTGTGGCGACTTTCAGATGCCCCTGCACTATCCAAGGTACACTCAATCCGACTACGAGACCATGCCGGAGTGGAAGCTCGACTGTTTGCTTAAAGAGTATGGGCTACCGATTGCTGGGGACGTTGAACAGAAGAGGAAGTTTGCAATAGGAGCCTTCCTGTGGCCTAACTAGACTTGTGTCTCTTGTAACAACAGTATGAAAAAGTACTGAATAATGCTAATTATGATGTGTTTTTAGGTGTGATTAGTTTTGTTATAATTAATCTAGTGTTACTGCTTTGTTTAGTTATGTAATCTGTTTGTGTAATGTTTGTGAGCTTCATGTGTAGGTTATATATCATGTTTAATATGGATCTTCTTCTTCTATTTTCAATGATGGGCTTCAAGTTTCGGCAGTATATTTTCTCTCTGTTTTCCTTTTGTTGTTCTGTTTCTAATTTGTCCTAGGAGTTCTCTCTTCTCTTGTCACCCGTTGTTATCAGCCTAAGCATTCTTCTGCAGCAGTTTAAATAATCTCTCTCTCTCTCTCTCAGCATTCTTCAGCAGCAATTCAGAAAATTGGTTTCTCACAGGTGGTGAAACTAGAAACGTGACTTAAATTGTTCAACAAATATGTAAACTCTTTCCAAACGACAAAATCATAATACTGTGACTTTCATATATTTAATTGGAATCAAGAAGTAGACTTTCCCTGTATTAAGAGATATGCATGTTTTGGGCTCAAGTAATGGAAGGGCTGTGATTTGGGAGAGAAGGGTTGCCTTACCATGTAACCATTGTTAGCATCATCAAATGCTTTCTTATTAGTAGTGGTTAAACAATTATGCACATAAACCTCGTACTTGTCAATGTATGAATGTACGAATTAAAATACGCACTAACCTATATAATTTAGGGATACAATCATACATACTTAGCATGATCCGATTATCTATGTATGTAAATTTAACATCATTTGATCCAGTCATGTCAGTTTTGAAATTTAGATATTCAATCAAGTCCTTCAAAATTATAAAAAATCAGTCAAATACATTTGATTGGATTGATCAGTTGAATTGAATTGATCAATGTAAGTGGATCGCATCAAATAAGTCGAATTAGTCGATTCATGCGAATTAGAACGGATCTTTAAATGAAGAAAGCCCAAGTTCAACTAACAATATTAAGCCCAAAATATATGGGCTCAACTAATCATACACAATCATCGCACATCAGCATTCTTTACGGACTACCGCGTAAAAAGCCTTTTCGCGCATTTTCTATTTTCTCTTTCTTTGTGTGTTTGGCTGCTGAGAAAATTCTTGTTTGGAAAAGGAAATGGAATTTGAAGTCGATGAAGTGGATCCAGTAGGTGTTGTGCTTTGCTTCTAAAAAAAAAAAAAAAAAAAATAATTTTTTTTTTTTTTTTTTTTTTTTTTTTTTTTTTTTTTTTTTTTTTTTTCTGACAGGACGTAGGACTAATTTAACAAATGGGCCGACCCACAGACGTGGCCCATGGGTTGATGCATTTGGGAAGACGCCAGATAAACGTAAAATGTGAATAAATATAATTATATATTTAAAAAAATAGAATTCATATTTTAAGTGTTGTTTTAGTTAATTAATCTGAAGAAAAAAAACAAAAAAATGAATAGAGCTATAAAACTAAAAATATTAAAACAAAACTGTATAGGTAAAGAGGACAATAATTCGTCAATATCAAATACAAAACGAAACTGTACCATTACTCATTGTTGACGAAAACACCAATCATCAGCTTTTTTTTTTTCTTTTTTTTTTTTGGAGAAAAGATTGTATTTCATTAAATCGAAAGGAACATTACATTGTAAGAACTAGTAATGTTAACTGCGGCCTTGTTAAATCTTTTCAGAGAAAACAAAACCCCAAGTAAGAAAGAATAATTACCAATCACCAGCTTAAAAAGAAAATTTTGATGATAATAGAAAAAATAATTATTAATTTTGCACGATTTTTCTATACAAAACCACTCACATAATAATTGCATATGTCCAATTAATATCATGTCTATATAAATATTACTTAATACCAGATGGATCAACTGTCCCATGAGACAATGTACCCGCCGCGGGTATATTCTTTGTTGTGCAATGACCATTTCAAGAATAATACATCTTGTCATTGCCAGAGTCTCAAGGCAAGGCATTACAATTTTGTATCCCACTAATGAAAAGCCAAATTTCATACCATTTTGTTTATTCTCAATTGACACTCTGTTTTTTGAGAGAATCTCAAATCACATTTTAATAAACAAACTTAGATACATTTTAATTCATTCTTGCCAAAAGATTTGCATTGAGATTGTGTAGCCATGATAAAATATCAAATATAGTTATGGGTTAAATTGGTTGAGCAGTGTTGTGTGTTCATATGGTTCGTCTATTTTATCCAAGTTCGACTTCTCTCAATAAATTAGAGTAATTTAAATTATCGTTTTGTAAAAGAAAATTCAAATCTGCCAATAACTGATCCTCAGATTAAATTCAAATCTGTTTAATAAATTGGATAAGTGGTAACTCCCCCAATGCTCGCAATTGCATTTGCATTGCAGTGTTCCAAATTCCAATTTGAATCGGAGTTCAAACTCATATTTCACCAAAACACACACACAATATAGTAGCCGTTAATTAGCCGTTAATTCCGTTGTAGGCCCCGCCCAAATTGTAGAATCCGAGACCGCTTTGAATAATCTCCACCAAAAAACATAACAACGCATGACTCAGCGACAACCTAGCTGACAGACTGTCCACCTAAAAAGAATTACAAAACAAAAAATCCCACATGGGCCACGTCACCAAACTGACACTAAATAAAATAAACAAAACCACAATAATAATAAAATAATAAAGCAATTCCCATACAGGGAGGCCTGCCTTATTCTTCTCTTGCTGGCCTCTCCTCACCAGTCACCAGTCACCACCAAAACCTCTTTATATATAAACCAAACTCTCTTCCCCCTCCTCACATTCTCTGCTTCTCTCTCTCTCTCTCTCTCAATTGAGTTCTGCTCAATTTTCTCTGTTTTTTTTCCTCATTCAGAAAAAAGAAAATGGCACTTTGCTTTGGTTATTCAAAAGCCATTTTCAGAGTTTTGTTACTCTCTGCCATTGTCTTCTTTGCCATTCTATCTCCATCTTCTGCTGCTACTACAAAGCCCTCAGCTTCTGCTCCTTCCCCTGCCTCCACCCCTGCTCATGCCCCTGGCCCTTCCAGTGATGGTAAATTCTATTTTATTAATGTCACATTTTCCATTTCATTTCTTTGCTTATAATCAGATCTGAAGGCATTTTGTTCATTCTTGTTTTTGGATATTTTATTTTATTTTATTGGCATTTGGTTTTTGTTTTCCTTTCTGGATTGAGCATTGGGTTTTTTTTTCTTTCTCTTATTCATCTCATTGTTTATATTTTTTATTTTTGGAAAATTTTGCAGGGACTTCCATAGACCAAGGGATTGCATATGTGCTGATGCTAGTGGCTTTGGTGCTTACATACCTCATTCATCCTCTGGACGCATCTTCTACCTACACTTTCTTTTGAGTGTTGGGATTCTTCTTTAGGTGAATTAGAAATGGATGGGATTTGATTTGTAGACAAATGACCAAAAAAAAATTTGGTTGTTTGTTTTTTTTTTTTTTTTTTTTTTTTTTTTTATTTATTTGATTTTGATTGATTGATTGCATATATGAATATAGACAAATTAAAGAATAACAATGTTTGAGGCTGATTAAGCTTCTAGTAGATTGTTATCAAATTATTGTTCCTTTCTTCATTTCTGTTTCATTCTTTGCTTGTGTATATTGACATGTTCAACTTTAATTTGAGGATATACATGTATATTTCATTTCTTCATCATCATTGTACATGGAACTTTTTGCAGTACGAGACTATTTGAACTCAAACAATTGATGAGTTAAACCATTTTTGTTTTCTGTAAATTTAGGATAAGTTTTTTTTCCCCCTTAAAAAAATGGGGTTGAAAAAAGAAGAAAAATTATTGAATAAAATTAAAAAATTGGGTGTGGTTGTAAATCCGATCATACAATTCAAGTTCAATGCGTTCGAGCAATGAAGATTGTTGCTGTTGATCACCGGAGTTGTGCTTTCGGTTCTGATAACTTGGCAGCGGTTGCGACGCCATATCACTGTGGCATTGAGACCCCAATGCATCCTTCTTCAACTCCCATGAGAGTTCCCAGAGCAACTCCTATCCATAATGGATGAGGACTCCATTACTCCATTGATTTTCAAAAAAATTAGATTGCTATTAGCGTACTTCAAATCACTGAATGAATACAGTTACTGTTTGCAATATATTTGAACTTCAATTATAGATCACTTTTTTCTATGAGTTTGAATGATATCAACAATTTGAAAATACAGCTGGGGATTTCAACCCAAAGCTTAAGAAAGTTTAAAAAGAACTTGGATATCAACAATTTATCTTGTATTGCAGCAAAGAAAATATTTGCACAACTATGCTGCAATCAAAGACTGAAAGTTTAGAAGGGAAAAACTTTAAATCCTGGCATTCCCAGGCTCCATGAAGACGATCTTTTATTCTCCAAAATTGCTGTGTTCTGTTGCTTTTGCAGCCTCTCCACCACCATGACAGGAACATTGTGATTCCCACAAAGGAAATCTCATAATTAGTGACCCTCTCAAGGTAGGTGTCTGATTGAAAACCTTGTAAGCTTTGTACAAGTAAACCAGAATCCCAAAACCACGATCAACGAATGTGTCACTTTTAATCATTGAATCAGATGTCTATAGTATAAAAAATACTTGACAACTTCATAAGAGGAGACGACTATCCCAACAGAAGGACCGGCCCTACCAACACGAGGAGCAACTCCCATAAACAGCCCCTTCATCCCTCCATCCCTATTCGAGACAAAAAGTTCCATAGTTGGTTAAAAACATAGAATATTTGAACATATTATTACAGAATTAACATCAATGCGATTCATTGTTTATATTGCACTTGATGTCTCACATACCTCCAAATTTCAAGCAAAGTTGTTCTTGTTGTCATCTTCAATGCCCTTGCAGGATCCTTCTGCAAAAAGAAAACTGTTAAAAAACAAGCATAAGAATCATTTTTTTCTTTTCTATTTTGGGTGCTCTCGACTCTCGTGAATAAATTCTGTAGCGTCTAGTCTATAGGATTGCTTCTCTGTTTCTTTAGGTACAATACAAGAGAAGAGGAAAGAAAGTCAGGGTGAAGCTTATTATAGAGAGATACCTCTATCTGTCGTCGAGTTTTTGCCACATCTAATGGACATGTAGCAGCAGCTGCAAGGGTTCCTGCAACAAACCCAGCAGAGAAATTAGCTCCAAGGACACTGGCTGCGTTGGCTTCATCACCCACAAGACCAAGAATTCTTCGCCTGATCTGCACAGAAGGGGCAAATAATTAAATCAAGTTGTCTACGCCTGCCAGTGCAAGGTATAAGAGGAAACCAGAAGGTAGATTTTGAATTTCTTGAAATAGTGCAACTCACTGGCTCAAGGGTTGACCAACATATTGCAGAAAAAGGAACATCACGAGCAAGTTGCGCCCCGAGGCCAGTCCACAAGATGCGAGAGTTTTGTACTGTTACAAAAGAAAAATAATAATGTCATCAACAATCTTATCTTAACTAAAAGGCAACCTTAGAACTATTCCAATACAAGATAGGTATGCATCAACTGGTGTCATTTATAGGTATTACATGATCATCACATCATCTTGATCAGCTGCAAATCAATTACTTAAGAGATATGGGGAAGTAAGAACTAACTCAAAAGTATAATTAGGAGTTCACTTACAGTTTTGAAGGAGGTTATTGCTCTTGACAGGGTTGATGACCCCATTCAGTGTCCCCCATACTCCTGGAGGCTTCACACCAGCTCGGGCTTCCTTAAATGCCTGCGGTTAAAGAAGGGGGCACACTATGAGAAACTTCAATTTTGGGGGGGAAAAAGGGTACCCTGTGCATAAAAATAGTTCTCTCCAACTATGTAACCTTAAAGATAAGCAGATACCTGAAGGACACTTCATCTATGATTTGCAAAGTATGAGATACTTTAGACAAGATATAAAGTTAAAAATAATGACTAATAAGTAAGCCTAGATAAAAAAAACATCAAGGTAGTAAATATTCATTGTCTTGTCTGGTGTTAATTGTATTGCCGAAATAGGTCATAGATCCTCAAGAATAAATCCTAATTTTTTATTGTATTCAGGTCATTAACTAAGATAATTTGTTGCATAGTTACTGAAATCACACTCATGGGATTGGTCGAGAGGTCTTGACAGGGATAGCATAAAACCTATGGATATGAGATGAATACCAGTTCACAAGTCAGGAACAGTGTAAAGTGGTGATAAATGACATCAATCTACATCATTAAATACCTGCATGCGCGTCCTTGCGAGTTCAACAGGGTAACAAGAGATGCAAGCTAATGATCGTGCTAGTGACCCTGCAACTAATGGGACATATGGTGTCATATTTGGAACATTCTGAGTCGTGAAATCTTCCATCAAATTGCGGAAAATGTCATAGCAAGGCATGTAGATCCCCACCTGATTGACAAATAGAAAACAATAACTACCAGCAACACAAATTCCAGAACAAAGTGCATACCACCTTGCATCATCCACAGCATGGGATCTAACACTGCAAGGAACCATTTAGATGAAAGAGGTAATCCTTGTTAAGAGAGAGACTTACAGTTGGTATGGCCAATGTTAAGCTTGCAGTAGTGCCCCTCCAGAGTCTCCAAAATCCTTCCTGCACCAATTTATTCCTGTGAACCTCTAATATTATTAAAATATTTGCCTACAAACTCATAGGTGATGACCTAAATAAGCAAATAGTCCCTTAATGGGGATACAGTAAGCATGTGGACAAGGCATTGAAAAGTGTCTTAAAACATGAAAAGAAAATGCCATGCATGTAATGTAAGGCATCGCAAATTTCCTTGTGGCACTGACATACAGTCAAATGATATGATGCAATACTCGCTTAATAATCACTTTGAAATAATATCTACCATCCAGCATGTTTTAGGTACTTCCCTTGTTCCTTCATCCCACCATAGAAAAAAAAAACAGAAAACCCAGTTACTCTATCTAAGAGTTCACATGGCACTTTCAGGTTTTTCCACTATAAATCAAAGAGAAAGTGAGTAGATTTTGCTGTTCTTTTTAGAATACAAGGTTAGTATAAAACCCATGCCTCTATGTCAACAGACAGTAAGGTTCAAAGCTTTGCCAAACAATATGACATCTGCTGGATTGCAAAAGTTGCTGTTTAAGGATAGATACTTGAAATTTTACACAAGGAAGAAGTCATCTATCACATAATGAAACGTAAGTAACTCCTTTTCGGGAGAAGAATCTATTATATATTTAAGTTTTTGCATCAACCAACCTGACGTATGACTTTGAGCAACACATCCAGTGTTCCTTTATACTGGTTACAGTCTGGTGGGCAGACGATCTTGGATCCAAGTACTGAACTTATGCGTGGTGTGGAAGATCTCAAATCTGGAAGCATCTACAGACGATACCAAAGCCATTACTAAAGATGCTTCGTTGCAGAGTAAATAATAAACTCAATAATAATAAAAAACTGCATACATACTGTGTTTGTTTCAAAACATGCCACACCACATAGTCCCTGATAAGGAACTCCAGCAGCCTGCGCTTGTAACCTTGTCTGAAGGTAATGCAATAAATGGCGCATAAAGTCAATTAATTTTGATAACGAAAACCTTAAAGTAGAGAACTTTATAAGCATGCAAGCTTCACAAATGACTAATCTCATCAAGCACAGACGAATCAGTTTCAAAAGGGCAACTTTTAAATTAATAACGTTATATTAATTCACAACAACCATATATGATCTTCTCAATGGGTTTGTTAAGAAGACAATAGAATCTCAATCACAGCATATGGGAATTTTACTACACAAAACGTCCACAAGATGAAGAAACGAAAAGCCAAAAATGGGCATCTTCCAAAAAGTCCCCAGAACAGATTATAATATAAGAACCCAATAGGGAATTGAAATTGCGAACCTTGGCAACATCAAGAGGGTTAACGAGAATCGCAGAGACAAAAGCGGCGCCAGCAGCAGAGAGAGCCCTCTCTCCAAAACCCAAATTGGCATCAGATACACGCATGGCATGGTGCTGCTTTCGCTGTTCTTTGCCATCCTTGAACATGGTATCTACGTTTCCTTCAAAATCAACTCTGCTAGCTGCTGTGCTCATCCATAGAGGCAGGCCGTGCCTTGAGGCCACCATTCGTCTCTGTCTTTATATGTTTTCGACGAGTTTATTATTCCAATATTCAAAGTTTCCGAATATTCAATTTTTCGTGGGGAAGACGCGAGCTGCGTTATTGCGTATGTGTTGGGATGCTGTTGTGATTCGTGGCGAAATTGGCGTGGAGCTGAGGGCGCCAAACAATTGGGGCTGATGGTCTTCTCCTCTTAATTGTGGATGTGGATTGTGGTTGTGGACCATTGTCGTAGACTTTTCTGGTTGGGCAAAGTCCAAGTTGGAAAAACTCCCACTTGGCTTCTATGGGCTTCATATAGATGCTCACTAAAAAGTTGGGACTTATTTTAATTGGTCTTAAACTGAGCCCAATAGTTTGATTAAGTTAAATTATATATATATATATATATATATATAATACAAGTCATAGTCTAAATTATAAAGGAGTTTCTGATTCTGTTTTACTAGACTAGATCCCGTTGGCTTGAATTGATTAAGTTAATTCTTATTTAACCCATCAAATATGGATCGACAATTTTTCGCGTCTCATGTAAATATAAGAATGTATATGTACCTAGCTAATTCACAATTCAAGTTTTAATATATATTTTTAATTTATTTTAATAGTGGTTGTATTATATAAAGCAGTATTTCTTCAGTATCATACAAATGATAACTACCTATTCTATTCTTACAAGTGGATAGCACATGTTACATGAAAAAAATAAATAAATAAATTTATAGAGCCAAGACAGAGATTCAATCCGGAAACTTTTCTCAACAACAAATTATGAGTATGAGTGAAATCAAAGTAAGAATCATCCCCTGCCACAAAAGACATCAAGAGGGCTCTTTGAGATGGTTAGTAGACTGGCAAATTTTCCTGCGTCTTTGGAAACAACAAATGGGATCAATTTTCTAGAGCTGTTGTATAGTAATTGCCTGGTATGATAAGCTGCCATTAGAGAGAAAATGCTAGCAGACACCATGACCAGTTTCACAGCAAAACCAACTCTCTGCCACTTCCTTGAGATGAACAACTTTCTAATGCAATCAGTGAGAAGCCTTCTGCTGTGAGCAGCAGGTTCAGCTTTTTCTTTCAATCTCTCTTTAAAATCCCAATTGAAAGGGACATTGTTTTCGTTGCCAAAACATGCTTTCAATTCTGTCACCACATCAAGTGCCCTTCCTTTATGTTCTGCCACCTTTGCTGATAGATTTACTCTGCTTTCTTCCAAATTGGTGAAGGCCGCATGCCTGTCCATCCGCTGCCAAGAACCCATTCTCTGCATGAGATAGCCAAATGTTAAAAAGAATTTGGGGATGGACAAATTGGCCAATCCATAAAAGCAGGAGCAAGGAAAAAGAAGACGAAATAATGTTGAGGGGCATGTTTACCTGTAAAACCATGAACATGTTCTCAACTTCCTTCACTGAGTTTCTAATGTCAACCAACCTCTTCCTCTCCCCAAATGGGGCCTCTGCAAAATCACAGTAACCAGCAGGTTCTGAGCAGAATTTACAAGACCTGCTATTTTCTCTAGTTTCATTGTTGAGCCAGCCATGAAAGCCCATGCTGTCTTGATGGGAAAACTGCAGGTCGTTCTTAACTCCCTCAAACAAAGACATTGCCCATCATTCAAAACCCACTAATATTGTGGTTTTCAATGTTTTTCCTTTTAATATTCTTTGCACACCAACCATGTTCAATTTTCTCAGCTTTTCCCTTTTCTTCCCTGTGGTTGTTGAGGCTTGAGAGCCTGAAACCACATGGAATATAATGAAGGGTAGGCCTTCCCTTCGTCTGTTATAGTTTGCATTAGGTGTTTCCAGACAGACAATCATTTTGGGCACTTTTTCTTTCTTCTTTTCTTAGTTGGTTTTATTCTTTCTTTAAAGGGAAGATTTGACATAAAAAAAAAACAGAACGGCTTAGCTGGTCATGCCCCCACACCCTCACTCTCATCACGTTCTTCTTCTTCTCCTTTTTTCCTTTCTTGATAAACACTCATTATGTTGTGTTATGTATGTGATACATGTAGCATAGCATCATAGCATTCATCATACAAAGCGATATTGGGGGAGGGGGAAGTCGAACCTAGGATATCGAATACAGTGTTAAATGCTCTCAACCAACTGAACTGTAAGTCCCTTACACAACATCAATCATTTCGTTTAATGGCAATACGCAACTTGTATTTAAAAACTGCGCACCATTAATTTAGGCCCCATGTGACCAACTCATTTTGTTGAGAAGGTTACAGAAATAAACTCTACTCATTTCTGTGGGAGAGACAAATTGGGGCCTTCCTCATACTGGTATTGCATGAGGCAGAGTATAAACGGAGCAAAGTCAACTACAGCAGAAGCTCTGATCCATTTGAATTTTGCTAATTTTAGCTACAAACCATTGACCCTGCTGCTGTACTTCATCGCCACTCAAAAACATATGCAGTCAAACAATTTCAAACCACATATTTACAAATGGAATTCTATTTTCAATGCGACCAATGGGAACCTGAAGAGACAAAAAATTTCGTTAGGGTAAAAGAAGAGAAAGACTGAAAAGGTCATCATATACATGGACCCAAAGATCTCTTGCAATTTGCAAAATCTCTATCGTTGCTCTTGGTGGTAGGTTGAATGGGCCACACTGACCCCACCTGTTCTGATATTCAAAAATCTCTATGATAAATGAGAGAAAACATTTCATATGATCTCTCCGTGTTCTTCTGCAAATGATATACCTCCTTTTCCTTGGGCTCCCTCCCCCATGATGCCTCTGATTTTGTGGCCCACTTCAAACTTAAAATAGTAAATTCAAATTGAACATGGTTCAGGCTCAGGCTCAGTAAACTTGAAGGTGTGGGCATAATCCCATGTCATACTCATGAACTTTTGGGGTCAAAAAGAGATTAGCACACCTTGTATTTTTAAGGTATTTGGAATAAAAATGGCTTGGCTCCTGCTTCTTCTTTTTTTTTTTTTTTTTTTTTTTTTTTTTTTTTTTTTTTTTTTTTAAATTTTAATTTTTTAACTTTTAATGCAATCCTTTTGTCCTCTCACTTGATTGAATGTTCCCTGTACTTTTTTGTTTGCACATTTTTAGGTCTTTACCTATTATCTTCTGTGAAAGTGATTTTAAGTTGTACATGTACATATGCAGGGTTATGGTATTTTGTCCAATAATGTATCATATTATCTTACCATCTTGTCAATTTAAGCTCCTAATAAGTAAAAATAACGACAAAATTGTCAGACAATAAGGCATTCACAATTTTAACGGAAGTATGATAATATCTACAATTTTGACGCACAAATAATAAAACGTGAATTGTAAAAGAAGATCCATGCACAAAGCATATGATTCCGAGATTTAGTTCTCTTGGGTGGTTTACACTTCCAGTTTGCAACTATATGAAAAACTTTAGCTACATAAATAAAAGCTATAAGTAGGGTTCAAAACCCAAAGAGACCGAGAGAGATTATCCAAAATTGAATTGGTACTATCGCAAGGACCACATCCGTTGCACTAGACACGGCGTTTGCCCATCGAGACCACTGTACTGGGAAAGGGGCTGTAATTGAAGAAGAAGAAGAAGAAGAAGAAGAAGATCTGATTTATTGTCCTTTGAGTTGAATTTTCAGAGACCTTTGGTAATTGGATATTAAAGCAGCTGCTATGCTCTGCCTCAGTGTTTTGTTTTAAAAGGGTATGCAAGGACACTGTTACCTTTGTATCAAGGTAGGGTGGGGCTAAACAAGCCCAGACCCCGACGTAGTATTAAGTTATTTTGTTGACTTTTCTTTCTCTCTTTCTCTTATTGGAAATGATCAGTCTGTTGAGACTTGAGTCACAAGTAACAAAATAAATCTCAATTATGAACTTGAATTATTGGACCGAGCTTTGTAAAAGAGTAAAACTCTGATGTATTTGATTAATATGTGATTATTTATTATGAGAAGAACGGCGTCTCCGGGTAGGTGTAAGTTTTTGATGGAGGATCTTGCCAAATACCAACTTGAACTAATACTGGGATTAACTTTAAGTAAACAGAAATTGAAGATTTTGGACTGCAAAAGATTGAGATGCATGCCATTTCTCATTGGACAAAAAGAGTAGAGAAAGGGACCCAACCCAAGTACAGGTTTTGCAAGAAGAAGATCTGATTTTACCAATACAGCATCATTTATCTCCTTTGGAGAGACAAAGTCTAGTCAGAGAAGGCATGCAACTTGCAAGTGGGTCTGATTATCTGATGTATGGAACGAAACCTCGTATTTCACGATGCAATTTACCAACAGTAAAAAGGTGTTTTGAACGTTAAAATTACCAACAACCCAGCAAGTAGCAAGAACCCTTTTGTGTAAAATTTGACCAGGAAAAAGATTTACATGTTCTGTTGGCCGGAGATTCAAGAAACATGCCGGGATTTCACCTGAAAAGCAAGCTGACAATGTCTGGGAATTTCTGAAAAAGCAATGGCCCCTCACCCTTTTCCTTTCCAAGAGGTCTAGGACTAGGCTTATAGACTGTTCACTTAATATAATGGTTTCTAGGTTTTGGGGTTTGGGGCAAGGCAAAGGCCAACATCACCCTTCATTTACCCTCTGCTCTCACTGTTACGTGTTCTCATCAGAGTCAGACTCCCCAATATGGGTCAATGACTTAATGCTGCCGTGTTATGTTTCACTTACTAAAATAAACTCATAAATCCCTTTCAACCCAAACAAAATGCAAAACCAATGTCTCTCAAATGCCTAGTTATGCGCCATTCAACATGAAAACAACTTTAGCTTTGAATGTGGATTAGTTCAACGGTAAAATGGTAAATACGAGATAGAGCTACGAACTCGAAACTTGAATGTTTTAGAGTTTGTTTGGGATTGCTTCTCGAGGAAATACTTTTTCTCATAAGCATTTTTCAACTGCTTTCAGGAAAAAGCCTTCGAAGCACATAGCATGTGCTTCTTCAAAATCCTAGAAGCACTTTTAAAATTTTCAGTCAAACACGATTAGGAAGCACTTTTAACATTATCAAAAGTACTCTTATTAATTAAACAAAACAAAGTACAGGTGTGTTGGCAAAATTAAAGTCACTAGAATGATTTATCCCCACCATAAACGGTTTATAGTTTATATGGCATAACGAACAAATATCTCATACGAGTCACAGGCGCCACTTGAGCAAAAAAGAAAAATTATAGGATCAACCCAAAATCTCGCATCATTCATTCAAACTCTTTCCTGATCATCATCATGCGTTCAATTTCAAAACAAATTTACAAAGTGATTAATTAACTTAATTATATAGACTACAGAGCATAATTTACTGACAAGTAGATCAAAACTCAAACCACTCTGGGGCACTCAAATCTGTCGAAGCATTTCATTCAAAGCGCACCGCTTTCATCACAAGCACCTTCGAAGTAATCCTCCACGTCATCCCACTTACACGACCGGAAATCGAGCGACAAATCGGAGAAATCTTCATCTTTTAACAGCATTTCCGGTACGACTCTCATTTCGTCGAAAAATATCGGCGCGGGAGCCTCCGGTTCAAAACAATCGTTCAGCAAAAACTCGGACTCAAACGCCCCGAAATCATCTCGCTCCGAAATCCCGACCGGTCTCCACTCGATTTCGGCCTCACCGGGGCTCAAAACAGAGGTCGGCGAACGAAGACTGTGATCGCACTCGCCCATCACCGCAACGTTGGGCGACGTTTCCCAAGAAATCGGTTTGCAGTCATAGTCCGGAGTGGCCGGTACGGCGATTTCTGGTGGCTTGATGAAATTGGTGAAGGCCAGATGTCCTTTAAACGCAATGGCGGCTCTGTCGTACGCCAAACCGGCCTCCTCCGCCGTGTCGAACGTTCCGAGCCAGACCCGGGCCCGACTAGTCGGGTTTCGGATCTCCGCCGCCCATCTCCCCCACGGCCTCTGCCGTACCCCTCGGAACTTCTTCCCGTTCGGCGAAACATTGTTGCTTTCGTCATTTGCTCTGCACCTCGGAGCCTTAGGCTTGGAGAAGAGCCTCGAAGCACTGCACTCTTCGATTCTGATTTCGTTGATCGTGCGCTTCACGACGATTCGTTCTTCGGCCTCGTCGCCGGAGGAGTCGGTGGCGTCGCCATCGGTGAAGGAAATCCGTACGATTTTGGGGGCTACGACATTGGATTCTGGGGAATGCTTGGTGAGCGTCTTGACGAACTTGGTTGTGACGGTTCGATGCTCAGTGTACTTGGTTCGATTCATGGCTGTTGCAGCCGACCAAGAGAAAAATCTAGAAATGAAATGAGAAGAAGAAGAGAAATTTGCAGAGCAACTGTAACTGATGAAGCATTAAGAAAAAGTAAAAGCTGAGAATAAATAAGAGCTGAGAGAGAGATTAGAGAGAGAGAGAGCGCAGAGGAGTCAAAATGCCAAGAATCGCAGTTTTATAGGAGTATCTTAGCAGCCTCCGACATTTTCGTTTTTCCTCTTTTATTAAAAAATAATGTTTTTTTTTTCTTTAACAAGGAATTAAATAATTTTAAATTTCATTCATAATTAACAAGCAAATAAAAAACACGTTTTAATTAAGATTCGTTTTTTAAATTCGGGGTTCATTTTTTTCGTCTGGGACGTTTTGAAGCAAGAGAAGAGATTATGGTATGTAAAGTTAAAACAACGTCGTTCCATGGATACTTTATCAAATAGATTATGATAGGTGGTTAAGTCCGAGTTTTTGGTGAATGGATTTACATTAAATTTAAAATATTTATTTGAATATATATATATATATATCTCATAGGAATAACAAAATTAGAAAACTAATATTAAATGGATATATAGCAAACGGAAAAGTTATTTTTTGCTTGGCGACCAAGTTTCTGCTCTTCCATTTTCCTTTTTTTTTCTTTTTTTTTTAAATGAAGTCAACCTCTAGTGATTTTTCGTTTTAATTTTGAATTGCTTGAAAAATATTTGAAGTTTTCTAGGACATAAAAAGACAATAAATTAATATTGCGGGCCCCGTTGATGCTTGCGCTCCAAGAAACAACTTCAAAACATTTCCCAGTTCCCACAAAACTACAAATTTGTCTCTTAGTTATCCCATTCCTCAGTTACCTAATTTGATGAAAGACATTAATTTATTTTCACCAAAAAGAAAAAGTCATCCATTTATATATTCCTGCTTTTTATAAAATAAATAAATTAAAATTCTGTCACTCCAAAAATATGGGTCGTTGACCAACCAAGACCATTCATTTAATGCTGAAATTTTTTTAAATAAGGAAAAATAAGAAATAAAAATGAAAGAAAATCATTTGGGTCAATTTGGGCTGTAAAACGTACGGATTTTGTGGCTTGGGAATTGGTTTCAATGAAACTGAAAAGACTCGCTCTTCTCTGGTGTGATTTGTTGCTGTCAACTTGCCACACATCGCGTTCCTTTTCAATCTTCTTCCTTTTTTTTCTTTTTTCTTTTTTTTTCCCAATTAATTTGAAACTTGAAAGGCTTCATTTTTGGGGGTTTGCTCTGACAGAAACTGCCTCTATTTTCATGAAAGGCAGGGGATGGGCAAGGAGATCAGATATTTTTGCTTGGAAAGAGAAACATGTAGCAAAAAAGTGGGTTTGTTTTCAGCATGCAAAAACCAGGATATTTCCTTACTTGTCTGTTTCACTTCCTTTATGAACTTTATTTTCTAGTGTATGCATAATCTTTGGCATGATTTTCAATCCATGTTCGAGTAAAAGCTTTTTATAAGTATTCTTTGTGAATAAAAGTGGAGAAGTTGTCTTACCTATATCTACTTCAAATTTCAAAAATTAAAAATGTTCTTTGAAGCAAAGGTCGGGTTGGAGCAAATGCTCTCCGAATGAAAGCTCGTGGTCAAGTCCTAGCATTCACGTATTATATGTGAGTCTAGTGTGTTATCGCCTCTCTCAATAGGAAAAGTTCTAAACAGAAAAAACAAAAAACACAAAAACTATTTGAAAGTAAGAATTGAATTGTGTTGATAGCACATAATGCATCCAGTTGAAACTTGGTAAGTAGAAAGAAAGCCAAAAAACATGCGGTTTATAGAAGAACATCTTAACAGCTAGGGGAACTTTTTTCAAATAAAGTTCTCAATATGGACAGTTTTTTCTCGGAGTGGAGCATTAAAGACTAAAAATTAGAGGAAATAAAATCACAACTTGGTTGACTTGAAGGAGTCGCACTCAAACTAATTACTCAGTATCGGGAAAAAAAATATCTAACATTTCATCTGGCCTTTCCCAATTTGGAGGATTGAGAAAGACAAAAACAATGTCTTCCTCCAGGACCTTGACTCTTTTAAGTCAATGGCCCCAGTCATGCACTTAAACAAAATTCTAAAATTGGTTTGAGTTTTTCATTTTCATTTTGTGTGCTAGAATATAGAGGAAAAAGACGGATAATGAGAGTGAAGATGAGATTTAGAGGGAAGATTAGAGGGGAGAATGGTAGGAATGAGTAACAAAAGTGAAAACTAAAACTAAAATCTATTTGAAATTGTTTTCACTTTTGTTATTCCTCCCTTCCATCCTCCCCTCTTATCGTCTCTCTCAATCTCATCCTCACTCTTATTTTCCTATACTCTAACACAAAAAGTGAAAACTAAAAAGTAAAATTGAAATCATTATCAAACAAGTCGGTTGAAAAGCTCCATGAGGTACACAGGCTTGATCATTATAAGGAAGCTTTAGCTGTATTGCTTAAACCAGGTAGTCTTGGAACATTCTTCAGAAAAATCTATCATGTTCAAGCAAATGGAGCAGACTGGAAACGCCCTCCTTTCACGTAGACGCTAGAGGGAAGGACCAAATTTTTTGCAATTTTCTGGTCGTAGCAGCACCTGGTTCTGCTGTCCAGTACAGTAGCTCTGGCATTAGGGTTAATATATTCTCATACAACAAATCATCGAGGGGACGAAAGGTTTCAATGTCAACAAACTTCTACTTTCACATACAGACAGCAAATTGATCATTAACAGCTGATATTTCATAGTTGCTAAGTATCCATTAAACCACCTAAAACATTGTCATCATTTGCGAGGTGAACATGTAGATCTATTCTTCAATGTCTATTACACAAGTTCGGACCACACTTCTTTTATACATAACAAGAAATACAAGGAAGACAAGCCGACGCACTACATGCCCTCGCTACAAAGCACACTAGCCCATAGCGTACTTCTGGGTCCAGCTCCTAGCGGTTGTCTCGTACTTTGCCCGGTCTGTCTTGTACATATGAGCAATTTCTGGCACCAGGGGATCATCTGGGTTTGGGTCCGTCAACAGGGAACAAATGGATAGCAACACCTGAAATAGGAAACAAGAACCTTTCCCACCCTCTTAAAAACCAGCAGATATAAAAGAGTGAATAGGGTACAAAGCAACCATGCATTAACAAATGAGCCATTCCCAGTCAGTGCCCTCACTCTCAAAATGTTTTGCTACAACAATGGAGAGCAGATCCAGTGGCATATGCTCCTGAATGGAAATCCAGATGAGGGGTACATGGTGAAGATTAATTTATAAATAATTTGTACCCATCTAATTTTCCTAGTAAGCCTACTTCCCAAAAAGATGCTGGACAAAGTATTTAACCAGACACACCACAATCTGGACTTCAGCACGGAAAATATGGGATCTGTGGGGTTCTTCATGGTAATCACCACGCTGGATCCATGTGGACTAGGGAAATTGAAAACCTATATCATATTAAATCATAACAAGGTCATTTAAGAGATCAGAACCTTAGATATGGTTAGTGCAGGGCTCCACTGCTCTTTCAAAATGTCAAGGCAGATACTTCCATTGCTGTTGATATTTGGATGAAAGACCTTAGTCCTAAACGCAACCTGCAAAAACAATTAGGTGACAGATATATAACAAGTTAAATTTGGTTTAGTGGTTTCTAGATTTTTTTAGCAAAAGCATTGGAGACAATAACACATGATACACAATTAAAATTTCATCCCAAAGGATCAATTTGATCCAAGATCCAATGTGCCTGGAGGGATCAAGAGTATTTTCTCAGGCCATGACCAGCAGAGCCCAAAGTCATACACAGAATCAACCCCGCCAATACAATGGGCAGTCGCTAGGACTAGGCCAAGGTTTCCTGACTTGGTCCAAGACCCAAGCCAACATGCCTGACTTGAGCGCCTAAGGCTTGGCCCTATATGTTTATAACAATAAGAATGTTCAAACACATACTCATACTGTTTAGTAGTTTATAATACAAATGTCTTATAAGCCCTTGCGTGAAGATCTAAGAGTTTATAGGACAAACACTTCATCATCACCACCTACCAAAGCAAACAATTTTGTCTTCCCTATCAAAGAGCAACAACTTTGCCACATGCTAAAAACAAATAGACAGAAAATTAAAAAGTTGTGGATGATTAAGATTATTCCATCCAAACATTTAAGGCACACTAAAGAATTCACAAATACTACAGTATTGCAATACCACAACATGATCTGGTGGTTGTGCTCAGAGGTCACTATGCCTATGTCCTGGACCTATTGTCATCCATCTAAACGTTTTCTATACACCAGATATGGTTTCAAAAAGTTATTCAGCCTAACGTATTATTGCTCTTAACATCACTAATTTGATAAAATGTGGTTCCCTTTTCTTTTCTAGTTTCATAGACAGTGAGTTGTAGATTTGGGATTCAATTCAACATTGGTCAAACTGATAAAATTTTAAATAAAATACAAAACAAAACAAGTATTTTTTCAAAAAGTCTGACAAAAATTTCCGATGTTTCCCAAAACAATTGGCAGAATGACATAATTTTTCCTCTTCCTTTGGAAGAAGCAAATTTTCTCTGATATGGTTGATGTTTAAGACCAAACCAGTAGTTTTCTCGAAAAGTTCAACAGAAATATATAATTTTTCCCGCTATGGTTGATGTTTAAGACCTCACGCATCATTCATTGGATCTCTGGACAATGCATAAATACTAAATACTAAAACAAACCCACCACCCCAAAACCAAAACAAAAGAGGGGGTCGGGAGAGAGAGAGAGAGAGCAAAGGTTACCAAAAACACAAATGGTTGGCATGAAACTAAATTAGAAACTTGTATAAAGCAAAATAAAATTGATGTCATACCTTAGGTGGTTTGAATGGATAATCAGGAGGGAAGTGAATGGTAACTAGAAAGACACCCCCTGCATAAGGACTATCTGGGGGGCCCATTATCGTTGCTTGCCAATGAAACATGTCCTCAGCGACAGGCCCTGTCATCGAAGACAAGTAGTGTACCTCAAAATCGTCTCATAGCAAACAATTACTAATATATTATTATAAATAAATTTATTACACAACGTTCAAATGCATGCCTTATTCAGCAACTAGAAATAATCAAAACGGGTCTGTTTATCTACAAATTCTTCTTACTTCCATAGTTCAGTAAATTCAGAAAGAAAGAAAAAACCTTTCTTCAAAATTGTTTATCTTTGTGTCTTAGTTCGGACACAACTCAATGTCAGGTCAATGATTATCAACCATGACAAATTCACCATAGGGTGCAATTTCCTTCATATAATAAATAGTATGCCCTCTAAACCTTGACACAATTATCTGCATGGCTCAAGTCAAATTTCAATTAGCACATTACAACACCAAAACTTCACAATTTTACAACAATTTTTCCACAAATGACATTTGAAGCAAATCAAACCCAAAATCCCTCCTGACTTAATAACACAAACACTGTAAACATGTAATCAAAAAGATAATTTCCACCAAACCCAAAATTCTTTTTGAAAGAAAATAGCTTCAACTGCAACAAGCACAAAACCAAGCAAGCGAACGCGCAAACATAATACATAACAAAATCAAACATTTTACAACGACCCATATCTGCAAAAGAATGAAAATTCACAGATCGAGCTTCGAAAGAAGCTTAGGACCATGAAAAATGAAAGTAAACGCTAAAACCCAAAGAAAAGATAAAATTAAAAACATGGGTTGAAGAAGAAGGAGATTGTACCTGCGCTGCAAGAGGTCGGGGGGTCCTTCTGGAGATCTTTGAGCTCCTTCAAGATCCGTTTTGAAGCCATGGATGAACCTCTTAGATCGTAACGGATCTAAAGGAAGGAAAAGAGCTTAAAGAGGAAGAAGAAAAGAGAACGAACTGGACGAAGTGTACAATAATCAGAGGAAGAGCAAGAGACAGAGAAATATGAATAAAATATTGTATTGTCAGTATGTGCGAGAGAGAGAGAGAGGAAGAGAGATTCCAAGAGGTTCTGCCTTTACGTGAATATGATTCTATGGAATTGAGATTAATTTATGGCCGTTTATTTTGATGACTTCTGTTTGATTATGAATTTCAACGGCGGTGGTTGGATTTGGAAAGTGCTTTAATCATATCGACCTCAAATGGGTGGTTCTGTAGGACCCACTGGACCTACAAAACTCGGACTATATTTGACCACTTGGGCAACTCGGGCAGGTTCGAGGATCAATCTTACCCTAACCCAACCTTCACAATTTGCGCTCTAATCTGGGTTCAGGTTAACTCGAGTAAGTTAGGCTTGGATTGGAGTTGACCAACCCTGCAACACTTCGATATTTCTTGCCCGTAGTATAACTTGATTTCATTTTTATTAAAAACGATAGTCTAAAATTACTCTAATGGTATGTTTATTAATTCGTGATCAAATTAGGAGGAACTAATTTGAGGATGAATTAATAAAAATGATAGTCTGAAATTACTCTAATAGTATGTTTACTAATTCATGATCAAATTAGGATGAACTAATTTAAGAATGAATTGAATTATGGAGAAATTGGATTCATAAGAATTGGATTTCATATTCTTATTGAAGTTGTTTACTAAATTATATAGATTGAAGAGAGTTAGGCCATTTCCAACCGTGGATGGCTAAATATAGCCCACCATTTATAATTTTCTAAGGAATAATGTTGGGCTATATTTTTACCGTCTTCAACAGTACATAGCTAAATCATAGCACCCTCAATATTTTATTAGTTTTTAGTATATTCTTTAAATATATTGGATAATTTAATTAAAGTTAAATTTTAGACCATATTTAAAATTATTTTAGAAAAAATATATACTTTCAGATAGAATTTTAGAAAAGAAAAATATTTTCAGATAGGGTAGGGTTAATTTTAAAACAACAATACATTAATTTTAAAACAACAACGAACCTACCCAAGTGGAAGGAAAATCGAGTATGATTCATCATGTTTTTTCTTCCCTTCCGAAGATCATCGTTGCAATGAGAACTTTGTTAGTGAGGAGGATCAACAAAAGCACTAAAATTGAGGGTTTAAAAAGCACATGATAATCACATGTACTCATCAAGTTGAATTGTCTCAAAACGGAGAAAAACTTTTGTATATTTGTTTATGTTAGGTAATAGTATTATCATATTATGTGACTAAACAGAAACTTTTGTATATATATTTCTGTTATGTGACGGTATTCTATGACTAAACAGTCCAATTAAAAGATAATATGTGACGGTATTCGAAAACTGATCATCGAACATGTGATTGTCTTTCTAAGAATCGATTATAGTAAGAAAATATGTACACATGAATAAGTAGTACCTCCAAAGGGCAGATATCATATTACATTAAAGAGAAACAGATATACCATCACTGTCTTATCGTCTTTGCTTCATTTCCCTTACGACGCAGGCACTCTTTGCACCATCCATAAGTTGTCTCCCAATTTTATCACATCAATAAAAAGATGCTACACCTTATTTTACAAAAGGAACGAAAAAAGATGTTACACCTTATATGTTTACTTTTTTATTTATCAATCTTTTTTATTTCTACAAGAAATGCAGATGGCAAGAACCCAAAGACTCCAACTTCGAATCCATCAACAACAACCATAAGAAAGAAGCTTTATAATATGAAGGGAAAAAGGAAAAAAGAAAAAAGAATGAAACTGATAAATAATTAAATTAAACAAACAAATAAATAAAACTCAATTCCCAGGCCCCTTCTGAACTGATATTCCAATTGCATCAGAATGATCCAAAGCTTAAACAGGGACAAATGTTAGCCTGTTTTTAAGATGATATTTGCTGCCTCCAATTCTTTTTTGTAAAGGCTCATTATAAATATTAAAGACAGATTAGGGAGATTAATCCATTCTTTACTCTTTGGGTAACAAATGTGTGGGCTTGAAAAATTGCAGCATCCTCCAGCTGACCAACTCTCTCTTCTACCATCAGCCTTGACACATATCAACGAATGTTAATCCTGCAATCAAATCAACAAACCCAGAAATTAATTAAGATCATTAGTGTATTCTATACTCAATTTGACACATCAACTTGAAGAGTACACGCCGCTAAATATACAGACACATGCGAAGAGGATCATATGAGCAATCTACACAAAAGGATTTGATCATGAAACTAACAAATGGTCTAAAAATATTATGTTACAATTGTCTCCTAGAAAGCCTAGGATTAACAAGGGAATTAACATAGGAAAACAACAAAGTTTCCAAAAACTGTAAGAATTGAATTTTGGACTAATAAACAACGTCGGATGCCCGAAAAAGCCCATAAGTGTCTATATGAATTACGTCAGTAACCATTTGATATTGTCACACACAATCTCTTGTGATTTACATTTTGCTATAATCTTCTTCTAAATGCCATTCAGATACCATTGACTTGAACCCATTATTTTCAAGTAATTTTTTAATGTAATAATTCCTACTAAGAAAAAGTGAACCCGTCAACCCTAACAGTTAAAGAAATGTTATTATTATTATTACCTACGAAAATCTAAAACATGAAGGCACATGCAAAAATCAAAATAAAAAATGAAAAATAAAAATAAAATAGCATACCATTTGAAGGCATTGATGGTGCACTTGGGCATGTCTCCAGCATCCACATTCTTCAACCTCACACCACCACACAACACATTGATCTGCATCGTCCCCACCCTCCACCCTTGGATCACATACCCAATCCTCGTCTTCCCCTCCAGCGCCACCTTTATCTCCTTGCTCTTGAACTGCCCCAGCAGCTTCTTCCCCACCGGCTGCTCCACTACCTTGTTCCTCACCCCGCTCTCCACCTTCACGTACGTCGTGTTCCGGTGCCGCTGCGTAAACCCCTTCACCTCTTTTGTACCTATCCCCAATCCGCCGTCGTTCTCGTCCCCGATGCTCAGCGACATCTCGAAGCCCTCGCTGTAGTAAATGTCCAATTTGGGATTTGGGTTCTTCACTTCCACGCTCGTCACCGCCTGGACGTCGAGGTGGGTCCCGTCGGACTTCGAAACGGCGTCGAATTTGGGGATCTGGAACGATATCAAGTAGAAGGCCGGGAGGCGCGGGTCGAAGAGGAGGTAGAAGATCCCGCCGGCGAGGGCGACGAGGATGACGACGATGAGGAGGAAGGCGCAGAAGACGCAGCAGCATATTTTGCAGCAGCTGCCCCCTCGTTTTTTCTGCTTTTGGCGGAGAGTAGGAGGGTAGACGGGTTTTCGCGGCGGCGGTGGACCGGGTACGGGTTGGCCAGGGTAGTTTGGGGTCCTATAACCCGGGGGTTTCTGGATCACTGGTTTAACCGGGGATTTTTGGGCCATTTATTTCTCTGCTCTTAAATGTGGTTCCTCTGTTTCGGATAATTTTGCAGAGGAAAAAAAACAGAGAACCTCAAAATGTGATTGAGATTGAATGAATTTGCAGACAAATTGCGATTAATTTATGAATGTTAATTGAATTTCAAAGGAATTGGATTAGTGGGTATTGAAATTAATCGCAAGGACAGGGAAAAAGTGGGAACAAAACCTTACAAATGGACATGAACGAGAAAAGAGTGGCAGCTCATTTTTTAAAACAGAGGAATTTGAAATTTCAAAATTTCTGATGAATTGGGTGGTGCAAAGAGGAAAATATCAAAATGGGTTGTGAAATCTGTGGGGAAGATGGTGAATGGAGAAGAAAGGAAGCGAAGGGGTTTTGCGTTTTTTGTTCTTCTTATTTATCGGGAAATCGGATCAGGAAGACAAGGTCGTTCAATTTATGAGAAGGAGATAAAAGAGATAGGGATAGAGACACAGGGAGGGGTAAGCAGTAAGGTTGGGCCAGTGGGTCATTAAGTCTCGGGTCGGGGCTCCTGCAATTTAAGAGCGAGATTCATGCGCGCCGTTTAGATTCTGACCTGGCGCTATGAATTTTGGACATTTGGTGGTTTTTTACGATGAAATGGCTTTTTTTTTCGTGACATCGTTGCGTTGCTTGCTTCGTTGGTTGAATGTTATGCTTGAATGGCCAAAAACCGGGGAAGGCTGGTGTACGTTAGAATTTGAAAACAGTTGTTTTTTTTTGTTTTTTTTTCATTTCAAAGGGTAAGAATGAAAGCAAAAAAAAATCTAACCCTCAAGAACAACAAAAGGTGTGGCTTGAAGTTGAAAATGAGAGGCTCCTGCAAAAAATTTTAGGGGTGGCAATTTAGACCGAAAAACAGAAAAAATTAATCGACATTATACTACATTGGAACTGCAACAGCTAAAAACTAACCGAAAATTGCGGTTTTAGAAACCGAACCACAATTGCGGTTGCGATATATGATTTTGGCAACTCGCGGTTATAGCAAACCACAAATTTTTTATTTTTTTTAAATTGGATTTTAGTAGTTAGATGTTGTGTTTTAATTTGGTTGAGTTTAATATATTATTAATATGCTTTTATGTTGTTGCTTTTGTGTTGTGCTATGTTATAGATGAAGTCTAGCCACTCTAACACACATAATCCCCCAAACACAAACCGATACACCCCAAACACAACCTCCACTCCAACTCATAAAGAAGGGCTTCTTCTTATAATAAAATCCACTCACCACTACCTACACTTGAGTTCTCCTTTTGTTTTGTAACTTTAATTAACTTTGAATTGAATTTTTCTTTAGGTTGTGAATGCTTGAGAAGTTGAGGTTGAGGTTGTGAATTTATTTTTTTTTGTTAAAGTATGCTTCAACTCAAAAGGCTTCAAAAGAAGCATCAAACCTAGGCTTAAAAGTGTGGAAGATTGAATTTTTATCACACAAAAAGACCACACTTAAAGATCCAAAATTGTCTAATTTAGGCCCAAAATATTCAAATCGGTTTAAACCGTTAATTCACGGTAACCAGTGGCGAAGCCACTCCTAGACTTGGAGTGGCCCTGACCCCCCCATATTTTTATCACTCCTCTATTATATTATATATAATATAATATATAGAATTTGTAATAAACAACTTAGAATTTAAGTTAAAATGTCCTCTAAAACAAATTAGATATGACTTAATTATAAATATTTAGCTCTAAACATGTAAGTATTGAATATTTAGGTGTTTTATATACCTATATTTTCTATTTCGGCCCCCCCAACTTTACAATTCTAGCTTCGCCACTAACGGTAACTGACTGATTTTTGCGGTTGCGTTAAACCGCAAAAAGCAGTCGGTTTGCAATTTCAAAAATCACCTTACTGCAAAATAGTCAGTCGGTTTGCGGTTTGAGAAAAAATTCGGGGTTACCGAACCGCAATCACCCCTAGAAAATTTAGTCCACCACCCACCCACCACCACAAATGCAAATTTAAAACTTAATTCGAATGCTTGCTAGTCTTCCTATATATTAGTTGAGAACTATATATCAATCACTGTATGAAGTAACAATCAAATGTTTAACCCATAAAAGGTGTTAATAAATTTAGTACGCTAATTGTGACGTGTTAGAACTATAATTTTTCGATTATAAAAGTATATATATATATATATATATATAGAGATTTAGGGTTTGCATCCAAACATCAACCTATGATTTCGGCTGAAGCAAGCTACTATAGTACGTAATGCAATCACATAGGCGTCTCGACCACATAACATAATATCTTGAAGTGATGGTTGATGAGGCAAATTATTTATATGTGTTACTATTAGAGTTTCTTTTTCTTCCCAAAGGTAGCTCATTTGCGTGCTCATATGAACTTATTTGACTAATTGATAAGTAATGTCAACAACAATAGTGACAGATTTCCAATGCATACGAAACATAAAAAATAGTCCAATTAATTCCAATTTTGATTGGACGAAAATCGAGTCTTTTTTTAATTTGATCTTCACATTATTATTTTTGTGATATTTATTGGCGGAGTCACATACAGACCTAAGTGGTTATGGTTCCCCCAATTTAGATTGGTTAGTAAATGTAAAAATATTTATAATATTTCGTGGAAAAATTTGCAAAATGATGGCTCCAATTAAGTTATTAACATTCTTGTTCAATTTATTTTTCAAGAATTAAATTGAGAAGGGAAAGTAAAGCATCTAACGAGGAGAAAGGGCCGTCGTGCAACATTTGTTTTGGGTTTAATACTGTCACGATATTTACAGGCGGGAAAGGACAAGGAGAGCAAACAATGAGACAGTTCCATTGCTTAGTCTTACTAATTATTTAAATATACTATTGAACACAGCTAATCTCAACAATCAGAGTGGCGCAGCGGAAGCGTGGTGGGCCCATAACCCACAGGTCCCAGGATCGAAACCTGGCTCTGATATGAGTGGCTTCCGATTTAACCTTTTTTCCTGGTTCCAATTTTTGCAATATTTCTCCTTCATAGTAATTATATTTCCTTTTTCAACATTACCTTCTTTCACATCACGGAAACCATACTTCACCCAATTCATCAGTGTCAAATTTTTTTTTTTTTTTTTTTTTTTTTTTTTTTTTTTTTTTTTATAATCAGGAATACTATTAGAAATAATAATTAATTTCTCCTTTAAGCCCCTTTATTTGTCAAGTTTTGCCATTAGATGTTACAATGTATAACAAAAACCATGGATGAAATTACAAGGTTTTAACCACCTCCCACTCTTTCACAGAGAAATTAAAGGATGATTAGATACTGGCTTTGCTACTTGGCAGGCAGCTCGTGTGAGGCAATAGATTTGAATGCTTGCCAGTCTCCTTCTATATTAGTATATCAATCAACTGTACATGTATATAGTAACAACCAAATGTTTAACCCATAAAATTAAGATTAAAAACAACAACAATAGTGTATAGTCACACATTTCCAATTTCGTACCCACAAACTTTTGTACAAATTATTTGGCCTAAACGCTAGAAACTTTTCTCCAACATCTAAATTTCACAACTCATTTTTAGGTACCCTCTATAGCGGTGACAATCGATGCACTTATCATTCCAGTTAAATTGAAGACCATCATCCGGACATTTGCGATTGGGCCGCGAACAAATTTTCTGCAACAAAGAACAGAATAAAATGTAATAACACAAGCCACGCTGCCGTTAGACTCTATTTATTGTTTAATTATTTTTTGTGCAAAAAAAAGAGCAATGCAATATTGCAGGTTGCAAGAGCACATGAGATGAGAAACTTGTTAAAAAGAAGCAGAAGAGCATAGTAAATTAATCTAAGCTCCTCCCTGTACATGTACGTACGTACCCAAAGGAGAATCTGGAGGAATCTCTCGCAATCATGCCGCATATGGAATTCATGAATTTTTTTTTCCTACTCTAGTTTGACCAACGCTAGGCAGAACTGCTCCTGTTATTGTCCTACCTTCGCCGGGATATTTCTCCACAATGTACTCAGCATTATAAGGTCCTAAATGAGAGATATTATAATACAAAGAAAAAGGATGTTAATGAAAGTGACCGTGAAACCAACCAGACCAAGGGAGCCTTACATTATTATTCAGGCACATTCGAGAAGAAGGAAAGATTGAAAAAGTAGGGAGGGAGGGAACCATTTTATTTCAGCAATGACATTGACTGGACAGATTTTACAGAGAGATTTATGTGATGGCTCCAACTGAGTTATTAACATTTTTGACCAATTGATTTTTCAAGAATTAAATTGAGAAGGGAAAGTAAAGCATCTAACGAGGAGAAGGTCACGAAATCCCCCGCTCTTGGGGGATGTCCTCAACGACGAGGAACATGTACTAGGGTGTATGTGCGACTCATTTAGATCATGGGCTACGACAAAAGAAAGAAAAAAATTTATCCAGTATCAACGACCAGTACTAGTGAATAGGATAGAATGGAAGAACTCCAGTTAATATCTAAAAATAAAAAGATATCTATCATTCTATAATGGTATCAAATGTATGGTTTCCGTTAGTATAAATCCAATCACCTCAATTTAAAATTTTAAAATTTAAGATGAGAAAAATTTCTCCATTGATAGCAAATGCATCCATTAAGCAGGGGAAATCCTATTTTAGAAAGTAGAAAAATTCTGCCTTACTCTTGCAAGAACGGACTAACAGGGTCAGCTACCCATCGTGCAACATTGGTTTTGGGTTTAAGACTGTCACGATATTTACAGGCGGGGAAGGAGAGCAAACAATGACACAGTCTTACTAATTATTTAAATATAGTATTGAACACAATTTATCTCAACAATCAGAGTGGCGCAGCGGAAGCGTGGTGGGCCCATAACCCACAGGTCCCAGGATCGAAACCTGGCTCTGATATGAGTAGCTTCCGATGTAGCCTATTTTTTCCTTTTAACCATTATTTTTCAAACAAAAACCATGTATGAAATTACAAGGTTTTTAACTACCTCCCACCCTTTTACAGAGAAATTAAAAGATAGAGAGGAGGGTTCTGAGTGTTACATTTCAAGATTTTTTATAAGCTACAACAGGACCCTTCTACAATCTCGGCTAGCAGCCTAGTCCAACAAAAACTAAAGCACTTTACCCTAATAACCCTGTACTGTTCTTCAAAAACCTCCCTTCTAGAGATCAAGGTGCTCACTACAGAAACTTGAAGGCACAACTGATAGCTGCAACCGCCCTGTCCATTCCTCGCCTGGCTTCAAGGTGATAGGTTTCTCGATTGCTGCCCCGTCCACGCAAAGCATCTGTTTGTACTCCTCATCGCCAAAATCAACCATAGATTTCGATTTCTTCTCCCATGGATTCCAAACAGCTGTACATGGGGAAACAAAATTGTAAACAGAAGTCAAATATAATATCACCATCATATATATCTTGGGAGGGTAATGTAACAGATTTACACAGCAAGTCAAGTCATCTTTATGTTCGAGCTTGTCAAGAGAAGACTTGGATAGTTGAATATAAAATCTCAACTATCCAATTCTTTCAAAGTTACTGGCTGGCAAAATAACATTGACTATCTAACTTTCCATAAATACAAAAAGTTGATAAAAATGTAAAAAAGTTAAATATATGCCAGCTTACAAACATCTGGTAGTCCTTCCTTTCTGATTACATATGTCCGCTTTTTCTCATGATCAAGGACTGCAATTACATTTGGCGAACTTAGATACAGACGACTGACCTGCCGTGAGAAAGTTTTTGTATCTATAAGCCAAGGCCTTCATATTGCATCAACAATACGTGCAAGAAAGAAAAATAAGCTAATCTTTATTTCAAGCAGATCATAGAGTGGACATTTGATGAGTTTGTAAGAAAAATATTATGAACATAATGCTGTTCTTCCATGCTATTTTTAGTTGATATCACAGTACGCAGAAAGGAAATAATGACTGGTTTGCCAACTACTAATGTTTCAGAGTAACCTTTAGATTTGATTAAAAACTTTTAGAAATAACTGTACCATGAGTAAGACAATGAATTAAGTGTACAAATGGATAACCTTTTCACAGAATACGTGAAAAGAATTCACCATTTTGTTATAGTTGGCGAACATTTGTCATTCCTTTACATTTCCTGCCCAATAAAATCAAAGGCAGCTGTGCTGGACATCTTGTTCACTAACGTGTGATTTTCCAACTCTAGGGTTTCCTGCATTATATGTAAAAGCAATTTCATTTCATGTATACAAACTAGAAACAATTTACCTCAGATTCAAAAGTTATGGCATCTCCTTGTTCTGTAAAACGTTTTCTTTCGCAAAGGTCGTCTAAGTAATCAAGTGTCTCCAGCCCTTCTATCCTCACCTCACTAAGGACAGAAGTCATTTTCACATAAATAAATCAAATTGCAAGAGTTCAATGGAACCACATGTGCAACAACCAAACAGCAGATGATTGTGAATTCAATTATATAAAGTGCTACATACTTTATGTCTGAAACCAAAAAATAAGTGTGGTAGGCGAACGAGAAACTAAACGGCTTGCCATTGACATTCCTAACTCGTGATGTCAGGGTCAGATCTCCACTTGTTGCAAGAGACACCCTAAGGCGAAACTCAAAGCTGGAAAGGGAACAAAGAAATGAGAAGATAATTTTATGGGTTCTAACTAAATTCTTTTAATAATTAACATTCTGTTATGACTTCAAGTCATTTATTTATTATTAACTAAATCTTTCCAATAATTAACATATTGTTACGCAGATACAAACTTCAATCAACAGGGAGGAAAAAAATAGTTACTAGTTTTATTTAAGAAGGCAGCATCAAAGCTCATACCTATGAGGCCAGCACTTCAGGTCATCTTCAGATGGTTTAAGCAGTAGATCAATGAAGGATTTTCCATGGGAATAATTTGGGGGATGCAGCTGAGGATTATCATCAATCGCCCAGACCTTGTTCCTCGCAAAACCATGCTGTTCGAGTGATCCACAGTTCCCAAACTTCAAACGCATCAAGGTAAAAAACATCAGATGGAGTTTTTCATTTTTTGAAAAAAGTATCATTGTATAGAAGAATAATTGATAATACCTGCGGAAAACAAATGGGAATTCCTCCTCGCATTGCTTTTGGAGGCTTGAAGATTGCCTACGGTTGATGAACCACATGTTAAAAGAATCTTTTGTGTACATCTCTCGTGGGTAAGACATGTTTTCAACTCTTATTGTCACAATTCATTTTATCAAATGTCAGCCCCTATATCTCTTGCATAAAACAGAAAATGAAATTGAAAATTTGCTCCAACAGGAAACTGATTACAACCACATTCATCAACTATCAACTAGCACCGGTTGGATAATCCCAAAACAGAGTACCCAGTCTAAGTTGTGCATAAAACATTAGTTCTTGACCAGTCAACCAAGTCATATGAATTGAGAACTCTAGTTTGACCTGGAAAATCTACAACCCCTGAAATCTGGCAGTTTACATATTTTGTGATTACTCATCTGAATAATTAGACAGAAAAAAATATTTGTTCGATCACAGAATTATAAAAATAACAATAGAAAGAGAGGGCGGAAAATATATACAGTTGGAATTGAAAAATTATACCTTACTACTAGTGAATAGGAGTTCTTCCCCGTGCTTATTTCTCCAGGATGTGACCTGTCCTCCATGTAAGCTAACCTATATTATCAGAAGAAAAATCCTTAATCCCAAGCTCACTAAACACCCCACTAATACAGAAACCAAAATGGTATTTGACCACAATTTCTCTCCCATTAAAAATTAAAAATTTAAGGATGATTCTAAATTGAATGCTTCGAAAACAATCAACTTACCCGGGCTGAAGCCCCTTGTTGGTTCTGAAGCAGGACTTGTTCTACCCCATTCCAATCCTTTGTAATCTCAATTGCTGCCCTATAATCCCAATCTGCTGCTGAATGCCCCATTTTGTAAAAACAGACAGAATTCTACCTCTCTAACTCTGCTATCTTAATTAGACACCTTGTGCCTTCCAAGCTCTAACCAAACCTCTCTAAAACAAAGGACACTGGCAGTGATGGATTAAAAGGAGCAAGAGTCCCACTGATATTGTTAAAGATCTAAACTTAACCAAACAGCTAAACCTGTAATAAAGCAGTGATCTTTTCAATTAAAAGAGAAACCCCAACTACCATTACTTCTCAGATCCAGAAAACTCGACTTGTAGATAACCCCAAAATGCTAATGCCTGTAAAATGTCATTGAAAACGTAAAGTCCAAATCCAGAAACCAAAGAAGTGAAATTTGGCAGCTGCACAGGAAACCTCCAATACCTACCTAAATTTCATAAAAGAAAGTCTCCAGATATTTGCAATATATCATCAGAAGAAGACAATCAATTTAATCCAGGATAAAGGGCTAAAATCCAAATATGTATTTCTCAACTGTAACATACCTTTTTTTCTTTCAAAAACCCATCAAAGGAAAAGAGAACAAAAAGAACTCATTTCCATCAAGAAAGAACTGTATCTGGAATTACTCTAAGCTACCCTATAAGTCTAACTTGTAATAAAACCCACCAAGAATGACATAAAAAACTAGAATAAGCAAGTCCCTAAAAGTCAGAAACTTTCCGGCAGAAGCCTCTTTTATGTACGTCACATGAACCAAAGGACTCAAAACTTTCAATCTACACAATGCCCACTCAAGTCAAGACCTTGAATTTGAAAGAACACCAAAACTGAGACCATGTTCAAGTGTTAAGGCAACCCTTTTTCCTAGGTAGGAAGCATTCAGTGTATGTATGGGACTTGCTATTAATAATCTAGAAGAAACTAATGCTTAAAGAAACCCAAAAGAAATGGGAAATAAAAAGATAAATTATAAAAGAAACAAAGGTGTAGGGGGGGAAGGGGCAGGATCGTGGAAGCATGGGAAGAAGTGAATAAAAATGGGAAGTGTGTTTTGATGATAAGGAGGAAAAGAACAGTATTTGTTCTTCTGTTGCTCACGCAGAGATCTAGGACGTGGAGATACGCGAGGTACACGAAGACAGTCCAAGCGGTCAAATTTTTAAAATACAGGAATTTTGAGATTGAGACTCTGCCTGCAGTTTTTTTTATTTTTTTTATTTTTTTTGCAGATTTTAAATGTGTTAATTTATGAATGTGAGTGAGCCATTCATTTAGACTTCACCCACCAACCTCGGCATTCATTTTATTTTTTCACTTTGATTATTATTATTATTTGCTAATGTCAACTTTGAATATGTCATGGAAATGAAATGACAAAAGCTTTGTGTCCTCTATGCTTATTGTGGGCTGTTGATTTCTTTATGGTCAATAATTTGGATATTTGGCTCATTGAGGTGGTAGTAGTAGTAATACGCGATTGATTTTTTATTAGGAAATGCAATATTTCATATTATTAAGGTCAATATATATATATATTTAAGAATCTCGATAAAACGAGAGAAATATATATATTATATTGTTAAATTGTCAACTGAGATTATTTGAGACAAGTTTTTCTTTTAAATCAATGATTTTGATTTTACACATGCTATCACAAGCAAATTATGATATTTTTTTCTTTTAAATCAATGATTTTGATTTTACACGTCCTATCACAAGAAAATTACGACAAAATATGATAATACTAACTACATTTTTTATCAATCAACAACAAACAAAGAAAAGGGTAACTTCACTAAAAGGACTAACTCCGTAGTGCATTGGGAGTTGCCTGATGAAAGTCTCTCTTTCTATTCTATTGCCAATAAGATGAACAATTTCTTTTCCATGTATGTCAAGTTGTCAACAATAGGATGCTATTTAATAAGCTAACATTATTGGTTCAAGTGAATGATATCAAGTCAATTGAATCATGGTAACTTTCTTTTTATTCCTCGTATCCTTTAGATGTTCGATTCAGTTTCACTTTAAACCCAAGTACCTCATGAGTCATGAGTCGGTTTTAGAATCTAATTCTAGGTCCATTTTAGAATTAACGTCTGTTTTTGAGTCAAATTTTGGGTCCCTTTTGGAGTCGAACCCATCTCCCTCTTATCTCCGCCAAAATGCCCCTCAGGTTCAACAGATGTTCGATTCTAAAATCGACCTTTGCGAATCCAAAGCATTTGGATCTTCCCACATTGAAAAAGAGATAAATAGTAGAGTGAGAGAAACTTTCTTGTTCGTTTGAAAGATACTCCCAAAAGGTTTTACACTTCACACTGTTTACTGGTAAAACTTCTCAACTATATTTCAACAGTTATGGTGAGCTTTCGAGAAGGGCAGACGGGGATCACGTGGAGGTGAAAATGTGTGGGTAATCCCACAGGGGACAAAAGCCGGCAGACTTTGAATGACTTGGTGAATCACCTACGCCCATGGCGTAAGCTACTTCGAACCTTGTTTTTTTTGTTTTTTTTTCCAAGAAGCAGGGGGTATAAACCCCAAGAAACCAACTACACAATACAAGCTACTTTGAACTTTGAATCATGTGGCCAGCCTTCGACTTTGCGGGGCCCCCGTATTGCTTGCTTCTTGCATTAGTCCACGTTCAGCCTTCACTTGAGCCCCTCCCCTTGGGCCCCCGCCCTTTCAACTTTGAATTATGTGGCGCCAATGTGGTTGTGATACAGCGCCGACGTGGCATATCCATGGCCATGTGACACTAATTTGCGTGTTATAATATACGTGAACAACAACATTGATGTCATAGAAAAGTTTCTTGCTAACTTATGGGATTAAGGATCCAATTAATTTGAGTATTATGAACTACAAAGCCTAAGGATATGCTCAGCACAATTCGCAATTAGCTATACAAACTAAGGGATTAAAGTAACTACTTAAAGTCTTAAAAACAGAAAGAATAATTAATAATAAAAAAACATACATGTATGCTCATTCAAATTGCAGTCATCACATCACTGGTAACTGAATTATACACCACACTCATAGCATATATGAAGGTTTTTCTATTCTAAATCTCTAACTCTTCATTGTACATCATCACCCTTCAGTGGCCATTCCAGCACATCTGAATTCTAGTCTTTTACTCGAGAAAAAAGGGGGGGAAAAAACCATTAGTTCTGCAATGAGATAACCAATCACAAATAACAATTAGGGGCCTCAGCTTTCACCATGGTAACAATCCTGTTCAGCTGTCACATTTCTCCTGCTTACTGTTAGCAGTAATTTTGGGCTTGTAATATGCCAAAACTACAGAATTAAAGAAACTGCACGTATGCTGGTCGATTGATCAGCCAGCAGCAACTGCATCAGCCCTGGGACTCGCATCCAGGAGTTGATGCAGCTTAGCCCCCGAGTTTTTCTCATACATGTCACCCTCTTTCTCAGCATCCCTAGCAATGGAACCCGAGTTATTAACTCTCGACAGTAGGTTCTCAGTACTAAATGGTTGGACCCTCTTATCATCAATGTTCATCATAATCTCTTCCATTCGTCCTACGCGTGTATTTGTCAGTTTATCCTAGTATGTTGAGACAAAGGGTAAGTTAGCACAAAAATAAAAGAGGTAGAAATTTTTATCAATCTCCGAGGAAAGAAATTATTAGGAAATAGCATGTGGAATATGGATGTACCATTAATGTAGCATTTTCTAGCTTCAGTGTGCTAGAATTCTCAGTCAATCGACTTATTTCAGATTTAAGTGCCACATTCTCCGCAGATAAGGCGTCAACCTTTCGTGCAAGTTCCTCAGTCTCAGCCTGGAAGGAAGAAGCATTAGCCTCATATCTCCATTAATGAACACGTACTAAAAGAAGAATATTGGACCATGGCACCTTCACAACTTTCATACCTGCTTCCTCAACCTGGACCTTCTAGCAGATTCCCGATTAGACTGTTTCCTCCTCTCCCTTTTTAGCTCCCGTTCGTTCTGTGAATCATAACGAAACCACCACAAAGTACATTCAGTGATGTGAAACTTCAATGGAGTATGAGAAACAAAGACAAATCCAAAAATAACAGAGTAACATATGCAGACAGTACATGCATCCAGGCTTCTGGAGGCAAAACTGCACAGGATTGTGGAACACTAGTAGAGCTCGACTTTGAGTTCAAGTTAGGTGAGTTCTTGAATTCCAACGCCATGGTCATACCAGGAGAAACTACTGGTCCAACCAATTTTCCCGGGACACTAGGAGCAGCAACAGTTGCACCCAACACTTTATCACAAGCTGCATTTACCTCCTTAGCAGAAACTGGACTGGGCTGCATGTCAGTCTTCCCATCTCCAGCTATTGGAACAAATATTGAGCAAAGATATGTGTCAATACACAGGTTTAGTCGAGCAATTTAAGCTTTTGTGTACTGTACTAAACCAACAAACTTAACACCGTATCAAAGCATATGATATCCCGATCCTGATCCCTACAACTATAACCTGTCAACGTCTCAACTAATGTTTTCATGTGTTGGGCTCTATAGCGGTTGAGAAATGTTCACATGTATCGGGGGATTGTTTGGATATAAAACAACAATGGGCTCACATCCTAAGAGTTTAAGCTTTATGGAATACAAGATAGCTACTAAAAAACAGTACTAACTGCAGGCCAACTTTATTGTTCATCAAGATGCAACACTTGGTGAAGAACAGTCATACCAGTGGCTGGTGTTCTCTCACGACTTCTTTTTCTTCTGGTTTGATTTTCCTGGACATAAAATATGGAAATATTGAACTTTAACTTCACCATTAACCATCATTATACATACAAGATCCAAATCAAATGAGAAATAAATTTGGAAGAAGAGACATGCTAGAACCAATGGAAGAGGTCCTCACCCCAGCGGTATTCCCATCACTTCCCTCGCTAGAACCTTCTGTCCCCAAACTGTTAGCATGGTAAAAAGTTCACAAAAATTAGTCCATAAACAAATAATTTACCGGGAAGAACCCAATCTAATGGAAAAAATTTCCAGATATGTAAGCGAAAGGAGGATTCCAATCTAAAAAGCACGAGAAAGGACGTAAGAGAGTAAGTTGGCTTACAAACCTCTGGGAGACACTATGTTCAGCTCCACCCTCAGCATCCCCAACATTGCTATTGCCTATTGACATTGCAAGCGCATCAAATCTTTTTAACTTTTTCATTAACCCTCGGTCTGTAGTACCAGATGACTTTGTAGGTGTTTCCATATTCAAAGGAGTTGCAGCCTGCATTATTGCGTCACAAATAAAGTCACATTAAATTATGGATATTGATGGCTGTGTATGCAGCTATAATGGACATATGGTGAAAAGTTCACTTACAGAAGGTGATGATGGAACCGCTTGGCCATGTGATCCCTATATCAGCAAAAACAAACACCAATATATGAGAAAATTCCAGTTTTGTAACTATCTCAATTCTGTCACTAGGGAAAAGAAACAGGGGTGCACAACTTCTGCAGGAGGGGGGGAAGGGAGTAATGAATTATTGATTGAGAGCTAAATCAAGCATAAAGATATGGGAAAGCTTATTAATTTCCATTTGCTTAAGCACAGGGAAGTCAACAGGAATTGTGGTGTCCAGCAAGTACTAGTAAAAATGCATGTACATAACACCTCATAACAGTAAATACAGTCTAGCCTCTGCTTTCAAAAAGGTAACCAATCAAATTGTAGGCACTTTAAGAACCAACTATTCACTCTCTAAATTGCAAAGCAAACAGAAGTTCTGATGAAAATGTAGGATCGTCACCGAAAATAAGGAGAATTCAAACTTACAAGAGGAACTGCCGGATGTGCATAACCATGTGAATACATTGCTGCATAAGGTGTCCCATAGGGTGGCATCATAGGCTGAAAGAATTAACGAGTCAATGACTTATCATACAATATATTGGAGTTCTTCCAGAATGTGTTGGCAAATCACAGACTTAAATTGAATGTATTAACTGCCTTGATGTAAAAGACAGTACCTGTGGTGGGCCCCACATATAGGGATGAGGTGCGTGGCCAGAAGCCACAGCTGAGTTGTAATATGGAGGAAGAGCAACTCTGGGACCATAATATGCCTGAAGTTATCATTAGCGAGCATCAGTTTTCATATGAAAAACTACAATATGATCAGAGTTATTTGAGCAAAACTAGGAAAAAAATCAGTAACCTGCATGGCCGCCCAATCAGGATAGACATGAATATTGGTCTGATTACTATGATTTGTCTGATCCTGCCAATGCAAAAGGATCAAGGAAAACTTAAAGACAGTCTTCAATAGTAAACCACCAAGAATAACAAAAGATATATATTTAATAAACAACTAGCCTAAAACTCTTTTATCTACCTAGAAATCAAAACATTATAAGTCAACTTCAAAAGATAATTGATCAGATGTTTCAGAAATTTCTGTTTCTATAACAGAAAAAACAATGTATCACAGCTTACCGCTGTCAGAGGTGAAGATGATTTCTCAGATTTGGCAGATTTTCCGTTGTCGTCGTTTCCCATGAATGACCACTAAGGCTTATTCAAAGATACTGAGAAGAAATATTTTGAGCTTTCTTGATCAGTGCATCACTTCTTTGATCTGTTTTGATGTCAGGCTGTAATTGGAAAAAAAAATTTGCAAGGCTTGAACAGCAAAAACGATGTGGCGCTAAAATCAAACAAATTGCTGACATCAAAACATCACAAAATTGTCTTAATAATTTTAGAATTGCGGGAAATATTGAAAACGATCACCACGCTACATACATAGTTAATGACATCCTTTCAGTTCTGTTCATGTACACTTCCTAAAGTAGCTAACCAAGAGTGAACTGAAACAAAAGTTAGCTAACCCAGAGGCAACAACATGACTCACAGATGTCAATAGGCTCCCAATTCAAGATAAAAAGTGACTTACAAATTTGGCATGCTATATAATAAAACATAAACAAAATAACGCTAAAAAAAAAAAAAAAAAAAAAAAACAGATTTGAAGCTCGGTGAACACTGGCTAAGTACGCAGGTTAGTCTAATGGAAATATGAGATTGAGTTCATATCTGCTAAATTATAAAAACAAATTAGTTGAAAAAAAAATTAAATAATAATTAGCTGCTTATGTGAGTGTTTCATCAGTTTATCAAAATAATATATAAAAATTCAAGGAAAAGGCCAATTGAACCTATTCAATACAACTATTTTCATGACTAATTTTCCTTTGGATACTTCTCAAAGGATAAATTATACATACTCACTCACCAGGAACCAAAACTTCAAGACAAATCGGCGATCTAGTGAATTAAAACATAGAAGAAGAAAAAAATTAATCGTAAAAAAGGGGGGTAAAAACGTCTTTCCATCAACTCTCGTCACAGGAAGATAATGCTAGGTGCCATCACCCAATCCATCACAAGTTCACAACTGAAAAACCTAGAGATGTAAATGACAAAAATACCCTTTACACAAACTTAAGGCGAAAATAATTAACCGATGTTTTGCATCTGGTGGTTTGATCAGTTCTAATTTTTTTTTTTTGGACGAAAGTTTGATCAGTTCTAATCTTACACTAGTTATCTTATATTTCTTGAAATAATTTCTCCTCCATTTTTGGTTGATGGGGTTGCAGTTGCAGAATTGGAACAGAAATAGAATGCTAGCGCATACGCACCAAAATCAGATGAGAGAACTAGTAAACCGAGCAAATCAATAAACCAAATCACAATTTCCAGCATAAGCAGAGAGAAATCTTCCAGATTAGAGGCTTCTACTCTAACCCTCTGTTTGTTTGCTAAGAAAACCAAGCAAAATAAATAAATTCTTAAGCATGTTGCCGTTACTTTTGAGTTTGAGACTAATTACAAGCTCCGTTTTTTACTATAACAAAGAAGGAAAAAAAACTGAAAAGATGCATACTTTCAATTTCCAACATCCCCCTACGCATTTCGTCACCAAAAACCCGCTCATGTAATAACGGAATTAAGCTTTTTCCGTTACTTTATCCATTTTCTCAGGAGCCAAACAGAGCATTGACCATCATTCAAAAAGGAAAAACAACTTGGAACTCCAAATTCAACGTACCTTGAACTCTCAAATCCAAATCTCCACCTCTTCACGTCCAAAATCCAAACCAAAAGGAAAAAAGAAAACTTCAGAATTCGTTGAAATTTCGTCAAAGCTTCAACTTCTTCAATGGCGGCAAACCCCGGCTTCAAATCCCCTGCATTTTCTCTCTCTAGAACATCGAGAGATAAAAAACGCTTATTTTCTATCACAAAGGAAGCAAGAGCGAGAAATTGAAGGAGAGAGAGAGAGAAGGGTGAGGGTGGTGGTAGAGAAGAACAAAGAGAAAGAGGAAGAAGAAGAAGAGCGCCAAGGCAACGTCCACGTCACCCAACACGTGTCGTATGTGAAGGAGGTCGTAGACGGTACACCGTATATACGAGGTGGTGTGGTGGTTGTTGAGCTGGCCCATCGATATTCGCGCTGGCCAATTTATTTATTCCAACGTCACCTTGTCCGTACACGTGTTGCAAACCCACTCGATCTACGCGTCCCCGGTTCGGGCTCCAGCCAATTCCACCCGTCATGTGGCTGACGTGGTCCTTCTCACATCCAATTCTTAGTTAATTAATCAATCGGGATTTTTTTTTAAATAAAAATATTACATTAAACTATAATGAATAAGTCCTTTGGAATCCACGACGAGCCAGTGAAGGAGGACGTAATTGGGGGTCTTGAGCCACGCATGAAGATTGTTAGAGATTTAGATTCATTAAGATTAATTAGATTTATTAAGATCATTTCTTTATCTTATTTTAGATAATAAAGTAAAGTCTTAACGATCTGATTTTTATTTTATTTTTGTTATTTTTTTATTGCGCCTGATTTGGCAGATTTATTTTACCTGGCGGAACATCTTTTCAAAAGTCGTGACGTGAAGATCCAAGCTAGTGTATGTGTGCCACGTACAGGCCATGGTTTTGAACAAATTTAGCTTTTCGAGTTTAATATTATAGCACAAGTTCCTAAATTTTATTACTTGGTTGATTGTTATTGGATAATATTGCTAATTTAAATAACTCTATCCACTTACATTCTATTTTAATTATTTTTTATTAATTTTGTTATTTTTTATTCTTTCTCTTTCATATTCTACATTTATCCTGAATTAAAGTTTTAATAATTGAAATTAAGAAAAAATAACAGAAAATTAGTATAAATAAATAAAAAAAATCCTCGGGATAAAAATAAAATAAAATCTTTGTACAAAATATTCCAGCAAACTAAACCATCTTTAACTTGTGTTTCAATTGCTCTCAAATAAGCTTTGAATGCCCATAAATAATTCAAATATCATAGCAAAGCATTGAATTGCATAGTAATTTCTCAAAAACCCCAAACTAGAGAAATTCCAAAATCTCAAGAACCCTTAAAATTTAACTTAAATTAGTGGGCTCGATTTCATGATCATGCAAGTAAAAGTGATTTATGAATCTGACAACTAGACAGAAAGTTATGATTTTTTTTTTTTAAATCAACCAACTTTTGTTTTTTGAAGTTGCAGAATTGCACGGAATGAAGAAGAAACAAATTTATGCAGAATAAGGATAGAATAAAAAAGATGATGAACAAAATTGATTTAAAAGTATTTTTAAAAACAGTATACTGAATTTGAATTTGGGGTTTACATCTTCATCCATTGTTCTTCCTACTCTATATGCAAAATGGTCGTGGGCATTTCCAGAATTGTCAAAAGAGGTTTGCGAACATCAATTTACCATCCCATTCCAAGCATGGGTTTTTAGTTTTATTTTATTTATAGATAAGAGACAATATCACTTGTTTAAAATATGAGCAACCATCTCACTCTCTCTTAAGAATAAAAACCTAATTATAAGATTAGGTTAGTTGTGATCTGATTACATCACTTGCAAATTATATATAGTTGTCAAATTCAAATTTTTACCATCAAGATTAGACATGATGAGTCATTTAAATATGAAATCGACCTTTTCAATGTGTTTTTTATTTATTAAAAACACTGTTCATCAATTTAGTTGGTCTTTGTTTTAGGTTTTTATTCCTTATATGTAAAAATAAATATTCTTCAAATTAGAGATATAAGAGATGATTGTGACAAATTTAACATTCATCATAGTGATGTTGTGAATCACAGTATGTCTATAAGAGAAAGTCCATTTTGACCCAAAAAACACACATGTCCTAGCACCCCCATTTAATTTTTATTAAATGAAAACAAAAGATGATGTATAGAAGATTGGGAAGGTAGATACAATTATATAAAGTTTAATTATATGACTACGATTACAAACATACAATTAGATAAACCTAACCTATTTTAGTTCATTTATTTAACTAGGTTGATTTACTAAACTTATTTTTGGCTATAAATCTATTTGTTAGCAATTCCTCTATATGCATAGTATATATTGATGATAAATATGCTATGAATAAAGAGCAATAACACATAAATTATATAAATTATAAGTACCGTTATATATAATCTGATTTAGTAAAAGAGAATCAATGACAATAGATGTGGGTTAATCTAGTTGGTCTCCTAAAATGTTTGACCTCTTACATCCAAATTGGATCCATCTCCTAGTCTTTTTAAGCGGTTTAAAATATCGCTTTGTAAAAAATAAAAAATAAAAAATAAAAAGACAAAAAGACAAAAGAAAAGGATTAACAACACTTTGACTTTGGGTGCCCATTAGGCCTTGGTTTAGATTAGATGCCAAATGAAGGACGGAGAGGGCAATTCGGGTACTTTCTGAGGTGGAAGCAACCTCTCATCATCAGCATATTATCATCATCAGTCCGACGCGGAGTGCACTCCTTGTCTGACGCATCCTGATGTTTTGACTCCAATATCTCACCCAATTGCCACCTATCCTCACCACACTTCATCTCCGACGACACCCATCTTGCCACGTGTACGGCCCAAACCTATCCCAGATACAATTAAAAAATTGAAACCGTATCTTTACTTAAATATCCTTTGCGTCCCACCTCTGACGTCACGACAATCCAACGGTTTACATTAATCTAATCCAACGGACAGAAATCGGTCACGACGCCTGACATAAGAGAGATAAACTGTCAATTTGCCAACGAGGCTGCCTTTCCCGCTTTAACAAATACTAAAGCATCTGTGTCAACACGTACTAGCCACTGGGCCCTACAGGCATCCGCATATGTCGGTGTTTTTGGTCCCCGCAGCTGACGTGTTCCACGTAGATGGACTGAGAATGGTGTGGGGTCCATCCATGCGAGCAGAGGTTGCGTAGCCAGCTCAAAATATCGTGTCGCCGTACTTCCTAGAGATCTTAAAATGGCCCAGGTGTCATACCCTTCATCCACGTGGGAGCTACGTGCTGTCCTATCTTTGGCCGCCCTAGTCTTTATGCTGATTAACGAAAAGCTTATAAAAACCAATTTTATTTATTTCAATTCTCGCATGCCGGAGAAAGATTCTATAATCTTATGTGTCAACCTTTATGTAAGAAGATTTTTTGATATAATCTTATGAAGAGTTTTTTGGGTTCTAGCTAATTGTATGAAGAAACTACATATTTGAGCTAGTCAAGATGGGCTAAAATGTCAAAATGATGAAATTATATGTTGTGAAAATCAACTTAATATATTTGGGCTCTTCTTTATATTTTTACAATCAAAATGCAAATGAATAAATTAGATTTATGAAATTAAAAATAAATTTGTGTAGGTCTGTTTGATATTCATTTTAATTTTCAAATTTTTTTTGATAAAAAAATAAAAACAGACAACTTATTTGTTAGATGTTTTTAGTTTTGATTTTTGTTGTTATTTTTCAGTGTCATATGCTCAAAGAGGATTGAATTTCATAATTTCTTATTTCCACACTTTGCTATTTCCCATATTATAATTTCATTTTGCCTTAGTTCAATTATAATGAAACTTTCAAGTAACACGTATTTATGTTGAACTTGTAAATCAAATTTTAACTGGGATGTGAGATCATAGAATGAAAGTTCATATTACTAAGAATTTAAAGTATTTTTCGTTGCATTTATCGGAATTAGATTTTTTATTTATTTAATTTAATTTTTTTATAGTTAGGATTAAGTTTGTATGTCCAAAGGCTCCAATTAGATTCGCAGCCAAACGCAAGAGTCAAGTAACCATATCCAAGTTGGAATGTCTCATACCAACAATTGAGTGAATAATGAGTCATTCATATTATTTTGGATAGGTATGAATTCGGGTATTTGGAGTGATATAAATTGGTGAATAAGTAGAACCATAAAAAGAAATGAAAATAAAAACTGAAAATATTTATAATTATTTTAAAAGAATAACAGTGAATTTGAAAACTTCAAAGAAATGAAAACTTTTATAAAATATATTTTTAATTTTTGTTTAAAAAATAAGAACACAAACTGAAAACACACCATAAGCTCCATCATCCAACCCACACTGAGTTGTCTGAGTTATCTTGTCATAGGTGAATTGGCTATCAATCTATTATTTGCCTAATCCCTTTACATAATTAGAGGAGAAGAGATTATGTTAGTGTGCCTAGTGGGTTTTGTGCGAGGAAAGAGTCAGAAGGGCCACGTCAGAGAAAGGGAGGATCAACGGCGATGCGGTTATTGCGGTGGACTAGGAAAAGGACATGTGATTGGAGGGGTCTGACGTGGTAGCCTCCTTTTTTCTATAATTTTAATGGCGGGTGAATCAGGCCAGGCAAAAAAGAAAAAGCCATTCTTACCGACAACGTGACGTGTCTTTCAGACACATGGCTTACAACGCCACGTTTGTGGGGCCCAGTTGAGGTGGACCTCAAGCATTTGGTCTTAGATCCGATCTAATTTCCCCTTTTTCTTTTTTCTTTATTTTTTTAAATTGAATTTTTATTTTTGATTGTGCATGGGTCATAGGCCCAACCACAAAAGCCGAACTGCAAACAGGCCTTGAGTGTGAAAAATGGAACAGCCAAACACGGCCCAATAGTTGGCGGCAAAATCCCTTTCTCAATTTGTGCGTGGTAGTTGACAAGTCCAATTCCTTTATTTGGATTGCTCTCTTTTCATCTTAATGATAATTGTGGGGGAATTTTTTTCAGTGTGAGCGTAGTAGTCTCACGTAGACGGTATTATCAATTCACTTATATTATAACTTATGTATATTTATTAAGAGTCTATTTGAAATTACTTAGAGCTTTTTCTAACAACTAAAATGCTTTTGGTAGTGTTTGAAGAAAATTTAAAAGTACCTCTAGGTTATAAAAGCATTTTTTGAAGTATGCGTTTTTTCAAGAATCACTTCCAAGTTTTTTTTTGTTTAGAAGCACTTTTATTTTTCATAAAAATTTTGACGTTTTTCTAATGGAAACACTTCTTAAAAAAGTCGCAAACGGGCCACTCTACCTTCAAGTATAAATATAGTTTTATAAAGCTAGCCATTTCTTGGCCAATTCGGATCTTGGTTTCATTTCTGACTGAAGGTTACAACAAAATTATAAATATTTAATTCACAATATTCATTTCGACGAGTCTTCAAACATTCAAATGACATTGATGGGTTATGATTCCTTGATACTGTACAGTGATTAGACTTCACAACTAAGGCAAAAATAATTGACATAATATCAAGTTTCAGATATGTTGTGACCATAATATTATATTAAAAAAACGGAACTAAAAGGAAAAGAGCTAATAAGATATAAATCGGAGTCACGTCACATAAGTTTGGCATTCAAAATTTCAAATTTGTTTACAATTACACGCTTCTATAGACATAAACATTTTTCCAAATTTCACCATTAACAGTTAATGTGACAAATAATATGATTATATTAATTTAAAGTATTTTATTGCTCAGAAATAATTGTCAATTTGTGGGCAACAAACATTTTCACAGCATGACCGACAGTACATGATGATGCTAAATTTTTGATGGGTCTGAAACTTGTACAATTATGTGGTTCAGCCTTTTTATACGGCGCTTGTTTCACACAGAGTGAGTGGAGTATCAAAATCCCACTGAGAAAAATAGCTTTTGCATGCTCTGAGAAAGAAAAATGCGACTGCGTTTGCCAAAAGCTTGTGACCTGCAGAAGCTTTTGCTCGCAGGGATGGCAATGGTGGCAACTCTGAGTTGTTTAAGTCATTCCAAATGCGAGTTTGAGGCAATCTTCAATTTTGGGGACTCGAATTCAGACACAGGTGGGTTTTGGGCAGCTTTTCCAGCACAATCCGGACCCTATGGCATGACCTACTTCAAGAGACCTGTTGGTCGGGCTACAGATGGGAGGCTCATGCTTGATTTCTTGGGTAACTAATTCAGACGCTGTTTTTCTAACATTTATTTGTATTCAATCTTCTGTTTTTGGTTCCATTTTTCTTTCTCATCCAAACCTAGACTTTGTTTATTCATGTGCTTGCATTTGTTCAGCTATTTTGTCATTTGCCTTGATATTTTCCTCATCCTCTAGGATATGGGATATAGGAAGGCCCTACTTTGACAGGCCAGAAGTAGAGTAGGGTTGTTTTATTATAAGGCCACTTTATACCACTAGACAAAGACTCCAAGCCGGACAAAGTTTGGGCGGTTTGGGAAACCCTCAACTGATTTTTAATTTTATGTTTAAAATTAAATTAACAAATTACGAGGAATTTATAACTTAAGTGATTAAGAACATTTGGCAGCTCAAGCTCTAGGGTTGCCATTCATAAGCCCATATCTGCAATCGATTGGATCCGACTATAGACATGGGGCCAACTATGCTACATTGGCATCCACTGTGCTTTTGCCAAACACGTCCTTATTTGTCACTGGAATCAGCCCATTCTCTCTAGCCATCCAGCTCAACCAAATGAAGGCATTCAAGACCCAAGTTGAAGAACACTCCTGGGATCAACAAGGTGAATATTGTAAACTCACATTTTCAAATACTATGTTAGATGACAAACATACCCTTGATTTTTCTTAGTACTAACTATTTCAATTTATTGCTCCTTAAGAATCGAAGAGACTTCCGTCCCTGGACATTTTCGGGAAATCACTCTACACGTTCTACATTGGCCAAAACGATTTCACCTCCAATTTGGCAGCCATTGGTGTAGGTGGAGTGAAGCAATATCTTCCTCAAGTGGTCTCCCAAATTGCTGGTACTGTCAAGGTGAGTGACTACTTTCATGTTGTTTTGTCTGGGCCTACAACTCAAAATTTCAATAGGGTACTTACTCCGTCAATGGGGTTGATCATCGAAGATGGCCCACTTTAGAGGAGAGGTAAATTATGCCGCAAGTCTAAAACGGACCCTAAGTCATATGGGCATGGCATAATCGGCCCCAATTAGCGGCTCTCATTCCATCCCCATTAAGTTTTGTCCTCATTTATAAATTGGTATTTTTTGTAATGGGGCGGGGGTGGGGAACCTGCTCGAAAAAGGCAGGGATGGGAATATTCGATTTGAATATTACAGGTACGAAGGCAAGTATGGGGTTGGAAACAAAGACTTTGATGTATAGACATGTGTGTTACATTACTTAGTAAATAATTTTAACTACTTGAGTTACAAGTATTTTACAATTGCATGCTAATCTTGAGAAACCAAAGAAAAAAAAACTGTTTATGGTATAAAAAAGAACTGTGTAGCTTTTATGCTGTGCTTATATTACTTTTCAAAATTTCTAGGAGCTATATGCCTTAGGAGGGCGGGCATTTCTGGTACTTAATCTGGCACCAGTGGGTTGCTACCCATCATTTTTGGTGGGGCTGCCTCCTTCTGAACTTGATGCGTTTGGATGCTCGATTTCTTACAACAATGCAGTTGTAGACTACAACAACATGTTGAAGGAGACACTCAGACAAACCAGAGGCTTTCTCCCAAATGCTTCCCTCATATATGTGGACACCTCCTCTGTTTTGCTAGAGCTCTTCAGACATCCAACATCTCATGGTATACCTCCCAACTAAGGTTTTGTCACTTAATTAATTGGGCTACATATATAGCTATAAACAAATATACACAATTCGTAATAATCGCTTTTATGATATATGACATGTTATGTTGCTAAACCGTGAATCAAGCACGGTTCTATCAAAATCGATAATCCATCAAAATCGATAATCCTGATATGTAATCTGATAACATATATATAGTATACCATGTCAATGTGAATTAAGTTTTGCTTTGTTTTTTAAAACAGGGCTCAAGTATGGTACCAAAGCTTGTTGTGGGCATGGGGGTGGTGCCCACAATTTTGACCCTAAAGTTTTTTGTGGAAACACAAAAGTGATCAATGGGAGAACTGTGACTGCAACAGCTAGTAGTGATCCTTACAACTATGTAAGCTGGGATGGAGTCCATGCCACAGAAGCTGCAAACAAGCTTGTTACATGGGCTATCCTCAATGGCTCTTATTCAGATCCTCCTTTTCCATTTCATGACTTCTGTGACCTCCAACCTTTAAATTGAGCAATCTTTTGCTCTCAAACATTGGCTCGTCTGGTTTCTGCCCCCATAAGGTAAATTTATTTATTCAAAAGCAATAATGTAACTTTGTTTTCCAAAGCATATGTCCTTGATCAGTTTTTCAGCAGGGCCTTTTGTTGTTGGTTGACACTGGAAGCTTGTTCTTGAAAACGGCATGTGGAATCTTCGACTTTTTCTTTCAGTGTTCACTGATCACTGATGGAGATAGGTTATCAAACTATTTATTTATTTATTAAACCATGTCTCTTCTCTTTTTAAATAAGGAAATTTATTGATTGGCTTAATGACTTGTGTAGAATGCGGTACTTTCAGTTTCCAATGCTGCAATTTGCAAATCATTTTCTGCTCAAACGACCTTAGATTTGTCTTTTCCATATATCTGATGAATGTTATTGGCACAAGAGCCAAGCTGCCGTCCCTTCTAAACCTAATTTCAGCCTATCAAGCATGCATGTATTCTTTGATCAAATTGAACTGCGAAAGTACTGACTGACCAAATTTTGCACAACCCCATTTGGCAGGCAGGAAAATTGAAACTTGAAAATAAAGTTTCTGTCTGGACCAAAAGAGAAAATAAAGTTTCTGTCATCAGTCTAAAGTTCATGATTTAAAATAACTTTCACTATTACAAATTTGGATGGAAAAGAAAAAGAAGTACACGAGAAAAAGAACTACAAAGAAGATTGAAGTACTCAAGGAACATATTCATGTTCAAGATATGGTTGGGTTCTAGTCATTGATGCAGAAGGCATTTTACTTCTCCCAACCCAAAATGTATCAAAAGCCACATCTTTTTCAGACTGCATCTCCATAGCTTTAAGTTTCTTCCTCCACCATAACTTGAATATGGCTATCATTACCAATCCCAGTAAAACCAACCCAAGCACAATTCCAACTACAAACCCTTTCCCCAACCCTTTCCGATGCCTCTTTTTCTTCTCTGGAGTTGGTGTTGGCGCTGGCCTAGGTGGAGATGGAACAACAATGGAAAAATGGCCTAAACCATGTGTAGTGCACTCATTTTCCTTGGTCATGTTCTTGATCTCAAAGCTCCCAGCGGCACCAAATTGGACACATTTTGGTGTCACATTTTTCCCTTGCACATCATCAATATGAGAAAACCGGATTGTAATGGGGTCACCCTGAGTAGTGAAATTGAGCTTCTGGTTTCCTATTGGAGTTGCATTTGGAGAATCATAAGCCATGAAGCCAACAACAGGAGCAACCAATGTGTAATTGGACATTTGGTAGTAACTTGAAGACCAATTGCCTAAATTCTCAAACACTATGGCTAGCCTTCTTCCATAAGGCATTGGAATAACCCTTGGTGGTATTTGAAATGAACTGAAATTTGCTCCTCTACTCCAAAACTTTGCACTAAGGACCCTAACAAATGAAGCTTCCATGCCAGAGAAATTAGCAGGGAGAGAAATATTGTATAGCGTGCCAGTATGAGGGTTCCTTAGAGTTGCGTTTGCATAATCATGGAAAAGAGTGCTCAAGGACTCAGGGTCATAGCCATATGAGGCTTGCACAAAAGAAGATGATGATGAAAATGACAGAGAAAAGAGCAGCCAGAGGATGTGCCAGCTTTTGAAGAACTCCATCAATACCACCCTGAAAGTCTTCTTGTGCCTTTGTTGTTAAATTCTTGAATTGCAGCCACATATAGCCATCTGTATGCCACATCCATTAAAGCTCGTAATATTATACAAACAAACCTCCCACAATTCATAAACAAATAAAAAAAATCTAATCAAACCCACAATCTCAAAGGCAATAAAGAATCATCCTGCAATAAAAGTTCTGCAGGATATGATGATGTGATGCAGGCCCTGGAAATGAAAGACATTGGCTTTGGTTTTGAGAAGGTAAACCAGAATCACATCACCAAATGAATATTCTTCAAAATGACAGCCTTGCTAGCTCAGAATTCTTCAAATCGCATTTGTTCGTCGCGATCTTCTTGGAGTTTCCTAGGAAATAGAAGGCATTGGGATGTATTGGAGAGGGTGAGGGAGAAATGTGGGAGTGGAATTTGGAAGATGTCTGGTTGTGTTGTGTGTATTATATGAAAATGGAAGGCCATGCTAGATGGGCACCAAATTAGAAGGGGTCCAATTGAGTTGTTTAAGATGTTATTTTATTATCACTAACTATCCCTTTTCTTTTGTTTTCTTTTTTGGGTTATATTTTGGTTGATAGTCAGTTGGAGAGAGAGAGAGAGAGAGAGAGAGAGAGAGAGAGAGAGAGAGTGACTTGGGTTGCTCATGACAGAGGGTGCAAGCAAGGCCTTGGAGGGTTATAGTTCCACAGGAGAAAGACAAGCTCTGGACCCTCTAAAGTCTACAATTGAGCACTATTTTAGGCAACTGATTTGGGATCCCCTTGGTTCAAGGAAATTCAAAATAAATAAATAAACAAAAAATGGAAGGGCCAAAGACCCCATAGATGATTCAGAGGGTATAAATATTTGGTTTTGCTTTGAGAAACAAAAATTACCCTATTGGTTTCATGTTCATAGTGCATACAGCTGCATATACCTCTCTCTCTCTCTCTCTCCACCTCTATGTCTTTTATAAATTATATGCAAAGGTTTAATAGTTTTATACACATACAATACAACTACACAAGGGAATCTGATCTGTCCTTTGATTTGAGAAGAGTCTTGTTGATAATATATTGCAATTGAGTTGGCCTTTGTAGTGGACCTAGTGTTTCTAGTTCAAATGTCTTATCCCGTCCTTAAAATTAAGGAATAGGTACGGATTCTAAGGTCCAACCACAATGATGAATAAATAGGAAAATAATGAGACTTGTTCTCTGAAATTTAATAAAATTGTAATTTTATTTATTTATTTTATATAACAGAGTCGTTGCTACATTTAATATTCTTAATCAATCATGTTGGTGAGGATTTTATGACTTCCAAAGTTATATAACATGGCCAATGGGGTTTAGTCTCGAAGAAAATGACATTGACTTGGAGATCTGAGGTCTCAAGTTCGAACCTCCATGACATTATAATTGTGTGCGTGTGTGCGAGAAATACTCCCCTAACTTGTACTGAAAAAAAAGTTATATAACATGTTTTTTTTATTGCCAAAAGAATTGACTCTCAACTGTTAAACAACTAATATTTTAGAGCACATAAAACAGAAAACACAAAAAGACTTCTCATTTAGTAATGTCCTAAAGGAGAGGAAAAAAGAAAAAAGAAAAATACATACAATGATTTGTAAATGAAATTTTAAAAACTGCAAATAAGTTTGAGTTCAAAATTCCATCTGATGTCCATACTTCTTCCCCACCTCTACCATTTCTCCGTTCTCATCATTTTTCTCATAACCATTGCAGAATTAAAATTGATAATACAGAAGGTCACCTGTCACCATTATTATTATTAAAATTGATCATTTTTTAGACTAAATCATACTGAAACTATCATTGAGTTATGACACTTAATATCACCCCAATAATGAGACCATCAAAGGGAGATGTTAGGGAAGGTTAAGAGCCACTTGTTAATTACAAGTTATCGGTGCATTAAAGTTTAATTTTTCGACTTACTCAAGCATTAGAAAATCTTTATTTAAGTTGCACCGATGTCTCTCTTAAGATTTTGAATTATAGTTTAAAAAAAATTAAAAATACAAGCGATATTGAAAGAAGGGGAATCAAATCTAGGACATCGAGTGCATGAATAAATATTTTTAACCACTTGAGCTACAAATCCCCTACATATTAGAGTTATTTGGGCAATCATTGATCCAATTTGGAGTATCAACAAATCTAATTATAAAAATCATATTGAAAACCCGAAAAAATAAAAACCTAAAAACCTAATGCATAGTTTAGTATATGCCAGGTCTTGAAGGAAAAGTGATCACTGCCAGAAGGGGAATTTTTTCTTTCATTATTTCGTTTAATAAGGTTATTAATCATTATTGGGCCGTTTGATTATAATTTAAGATTGGTGCTTCTGTTGTTGTTATGACTGTCGTATTAGTATATAATATTTAGTCATGCATGGATCAGCTTAGATGAGCACAAGACAGAATCTCGGATCAATTGCATTTTTGGGCCGGGTGGGTCACCGACTCAATTGGGTTATGGTTCATAGAAGCCCCCTCAGGGAAGCCCATGGTTGGTTCAATTGGGTTGATCAATATTCAATACATCATGAATAAAGAAAGAAATTGGTTTCATTTTTCTCTCTCATATAATCACGGCCTAAAATAGTTCGTATGGTTTTTTTGTTTTTGTTTTTCAAAAAAGAAAAGACCCAAGACAGAATCTCCGATTTATTAGAAGAGAGAGAGAGAGAGAGAGAGAGAGAGAGCTGAAACAAGATTGTAAGGTGTATGAACAAACGCTATTAACCATGTTGGCTATAAGCTCTCACTAAAATATTCATATAGTTAGAACAAAAAGGAACATTTCAACATGCCCATTATGAACTTCTTATTCTAAGCCTTAAAGGTCTTACTCTAATTGTAGAAAACAAAAACAAAAACAAAAATTATGTATTGTGCATGCATACATTCGTTCTCTTTATCTCTTTTTATATAACTCTTTATTTCTCTCCCAGTTAGTGGCGGAGCCACTCCTAGGCCTGGAGCGGCCTTGGCCCTCCCATATTTTTATCTCTCACCTATTATATTATATATAACATATAGAATTTGTAATAAACAACTTATAATTTAAGTTATAGTTCACTATAAAACAAATTAGACATGACTAAATTATAGCTCTAAACATGTAATTATTGAATACTTAGGTGTTTTTTATATACTTGTATTTTCTACTTTGGCCCCCCTAGTTCTAGCTCCGCTCCTTCTCCCATTTATATAGAGAATCTACACTTTGTTTGGAACGTTTTTCTCCTAATTACTAATTAGTGGATCATTCATCTTTCACATTTGCAACAAAAGTTAGAATCTTTGCTCTTCATTTCCTAAGTAGAAAAAAGAAAAAACAAGTATTGCTAATTAAAGAGAGATTATTTTTGTATTTGAGCTTGAGAAAGGGAGACCCCAAACGTGGATTTCAGATAAATAATCATCCAATCAAAAAGGTTTAAAAGTCCACGTGTCAACTCTCAAATGAGTCTGCGGAAGCAGTACAATCCACCGAAGATAATGAGCGAACCAACACCCAACACTTCGAGGAAACAAATCATTTGCTAGTAACCAAAGCAATCAACAAAGTCAGACGGCAAGAGGCAAAGCAGCTGAGGATACGACTCTCTCTCAGAGTACACACTCAATATCATGGCAGCGACAGCCTCATCCATGGCGACCACCGCCGTCTTCATGCCGCGTCTCCCCGCCAAACCCACTCGCTGCTCTGCCTTGCCTTACCTCCCTCCTCGCCTCTCGTCCACCACATCTTCCTTCCCTCTTAAAGCCTTTCCAGGTACTCTGATTTTTGAAGACTTTTGTGTTTTTGTATTATTTTTATGTAGCTGGTTTTTGTGGGGTTTTCTTCAATTTTGTGCTGTTGAAGCTATGTATGTGCTCTTTTCGTTGCAACTTTTGGCTGCTGATAAAATGTGGGAGAGAGGGAAACTTTTTGGGATTTTTGATTTATTTGTGAATTAATTTTGTTGGGTTCAATGAAATTATCAGCTAGCTGCAGTTGACTTGGTGTAAGTCACGTATGTGCTCTGCTTAAGTTCTTTATGGATTTATAAAGTAAGAATTTTGATTCTGTTTTCTGGTGTTTTCCTTTATTTCTCCAGCTAATAGATGTAAGGGAAAGGTAAATAGAATATAAGGGCTGTAAATCTTGCCTCTGGTTCTTAAAGCACAGGTTTTGAACCTTTGCTGTTGCTATTCGTTTTTTGAAAGTAGGGTATTGATTTAGATGAACATAATGTCTGCTATTATGTGATGATGGCATGAATGTTATTTGAGAGGCAATGATTAGGAGGGATCTGGTGCATTTCTGTAATACACTGAAAATGAAGGTAAGCTGAAGTTACAAGGAATGGATGTATCTGAGTTGATTATGTTTTCAATAGTCGTAATAGTCCCTTCTTTCCTTATAATGCGCCTACAGAATTCCATCCTTAGTTTCATGTTGAACTCAGCCTCAATAGATTTTAAGGGTGGGAATATAATAGTTGGGAGTGTCGGAGCTTTTTGATTTTGAACATCTATTTAAATGTGTTGGCACTTTAAAAATTGTAGGCTTATCGCTGATTTGGTACATTCCAAGTAAATGAACTAAAAATTATTGTTATAGCTTTCCATGCTCCAAGTCCACTTCACATACATTGGTCAGCCAATGATAGGAGAATGGAACCATAGGGTTCATATTGTGAACTGGGAATACCACCACCGCAACCAAGTAGATGCATATCTTGTTTCTTTGGTAGTTTCTGCAATAGGTGCGGGTATTAAGCCCTTGGGTACCCCATACTGTGAAAACCAGCAGTCAGAGTAGGAGTTTCAATCGCCCAATCTCGTATATTGCTCAAGATTCGTTGCAACTCTTACATGTAATCCAAGACACACAAACGAACATGACGTTTAAAATAATTTTGGAGTGTGATTTTTTTCTCTTTTTGGTATGGCAGAACCCAAACTTGATTGGTCGCATTCATTAATTCAATTTAGTTCATTCTACCTAAACCGGACTAATTTCCATACCCTTTTTGTTTTTGCCCTTTTGTGCATTTTGGCTGTTTGTACATAAGCATGACTAATTGCTATACTTTTTTCCTTGTTTAATTGTTTTCTCTATTTATTTGATATTTAGATTTGATTTTTTCCAAAACTTGTTTCTCTTTATATAAGCTGTTTAAAATTGAATCAAAACTTTACGCTTAAATAAGCATTGTTTTTCTTTCAAAGAATCCCGGAGGCTTTCTCTCCAGATCAGAGCATCATCTTCAGAAGAGACATCCACTTCCATTGACACTGGTGAGCTGTTAACAGACTTGAAGGAGAAGGTAAGAAATAAGCTGGCACCGTATAATTGCAAGAAGCTTGTTGTTACCCTTTGTTTTGAATCTTTTTTATAATCCTTTTCCAAGTTTCTGCTGCTTACGACTTGTCTTGATTGAGTGAAACCCTTAGTTTGTTTGAAAATGATATCCTTTATGTTCTCCTTTACAGTGGGATGCAGTTGAAAACAAGTCCACAGTAATTCTGTATGGAGGTGGCGCGATAGTCGTGGTGTGGTTGTCTTCAATAGTTGTTGGTGCCGTCAATTCAGTGCCACTTGTAAGAGATTTCTTTTGAAACCAGTTGCCTCTAGATTTTGCAATTTAGAATCTATTTTGATTATGGAAATGATGAATCTATATTTCAATTTACAACTTTGTGTGTGTGTGTGAGTGTGTTTGCATTATCTCCTGTTTAGAAATTAATTAACTACTCTGAATTGACTTTCAGCTTCCAAAGGTCCTGGAGTTGGTAGGGCTAGGATACACTGGATGGTTTGTCTACCGTTACCTACTCTTCAAGGCAAGTTTAAAGCTCTCAATTTAAAGTTGTATATCTTTGTTTTCTACAAGCATGATGCCTTGTTGCTCATGATTTTAATAACTATGACAACATCAGCGCTTTCTGCAATTGAGCACCTGAAAGCAATTTGGCATTGGCTACAGCACATGAATTGGCATGTAGACCCCATAATTCTTCTAACAATTGCAATTTGTATTGCTATTACCCTCAGTCAAGCAGAAAAGAACTAGCTACAGACATTGAAGCATTGAAGAAGAAGATTGCTGGAACTGAATAGATCGAAATGACTGCGCGGCGAAAGTCAAGCATAATTATCTTCGCCATCGTTTCATTTTGTTTCTGTATCTCTACCGTAAGAGGTGTTTGTATCCTGTAATCTAGAATAGGTTTTCTGTGATTGATTGTTAGTCTTGTACTTCCATACTTCCATCGTGGGAATAATATTTGACAATTTTATGTCAGTGGGTCTGTTGGCTCGTCCACTTCCATCTTCAAAATTGTGAGTTGTGTTTGAATTGAAAATCTATACAATTAACAACAAAAAAAAAAAAAAAAAAAAAAAAAAAAAAAAAAAAAAAAAAAAAAAAAATCTTATTACAAATTTTAATTTAACACAGCTCAACGAAGACTTTGAGTCCAATCATCTCATTCGGGTCTAAGAATTGGATGGACTTAAGAGATGAAATTATTCTTTTCCTGATAATTTTTTAAGTTTAACCAGTCCACAGTTTAAAGAAAATTTTAGTCGAGTGTTTTTGAATTTTGAAAATTATAATTCCGTTCCACACAGTGCGGAGATTAGCTGATGCTCTATAGATAATAATTAGAAAAACACCAAATTTCAGCTGTAACGATCTCTCAATAGTCATGTAGCCACCATCTTAGATAATGTTTGTTTGTATTTAAAAAGAAAAAAGTATTTGCTTCAACTCCTCTATTTTAACTTTCTCGCTATTGTTTTCCCATTTGATTCTCTATTATGAGGGAGAGAGAGAGAGAGAGTATTTGTTGTCAACTTTGATAATTGTGGTTCCTTTTTTATGCCCAAAAGTTTTTCTTTGGGTGTTTTTGAAGAACTATTTTTGCACATGTGAACACTGATTTGCAAGAAAGGAGGCAAGCAGTATCCTTAATTAATCGAGAGAAACTTGGTAGGTCGCCTTCGTGAGCAATAGCAAGCAAAACAAGCGTATCGAAATGAAAAGTGATGAGCTGTTAGACTTTTCCAGTCTGCTTGGAATGTTTTTGATACGTACAGTGATAGGTTACCAGTGGGTCAAGAACTTGGGTGGATATAATACATTACATATAATGGTCCACATGAACAAGAAATAAACAGTTCTAATAATGTTTAAGCCTCCAACGGAGAGCGCTACAATGTGTCTAGTTATTACAATGCCTTCTCCAAGTTAGGAGGAAAAGGATGGTAAAAAGAAAACACAGACAAACAAAATGACAATGGTCAGGCGTACTCATCCCTGGAGGAGAAAATCAAACTTCGGCTTCGACAATCAGGATGATGTAGAAGTCAGTGTCTGATAGTAAGCTCTGCTCTAAGATGGAGCACGCCGTTTATGAAGTAAAGACTATCCTCAGCCATGAAGGAAGTCCATGGTATGGCAAATAAGTTCCGGTAGCCAACTGCCTTTCCCCCAGTAAATGTGTAGTTACCTTTGTACTTGCTAATAAATTCCTCAGTTGGCTTTGATCTTGCCGCAAATTCATAGTCCACTGCAAAACTCACTGACCCTTTTTCCTGCATCCCCAAAAACAGCCCAAAACAATGGAAAGAACTTTGCTGGTCCATGTTGCAATGCGCAGAGAGGAAGAACCCTTGCCCACCCAAGTGGAATGCCTGAGAATACACCCGTCCGGATGGGAACAAATTTGCGCACTCCTCCCTCTTCAAGTCCAGGTACACCACACACTGCTGCCTGGGAAGGTCAAATTCCACCACCTTAACAGGGCGATACTTGTATGCCCTCTCCACAAAGCGACGATTCAAGGTAGCAGACTCCTCTGCTGCCAGGATTCGCTGCCGGTGTGGGGCCTCAGCCTTGAAGAAAAGAGCCTCAAGCACTAGCTTGGATGCGGCATCATGGTCAAAATCATTACAGGTTAAAACTTTTTTCAGCTTTCGACAAGTCATGTAAGGAAAGCGAATGTAGCGTGCCAGTCGACTACCCAAGATTTCTCGCCGTTCCTCCAGTTTTGGGTAGTGAGTCCTAGACCATTTCAATACAAAGTCATATACAGCATCCTCAGATGCAACCTGGAGTTCATCACTGGATACAATTGCTTCTATTCCAGCTAGGGGTAAGGCCATCACCTCTTCTATAAACCTGGTTCAAAAATCAAAGTCAGAAATATACCTCCCAAAAATGCAAACAATGTTACTTAACAAAAATTTGGTAGATTAAGTTCACATGTGAGTAACAAGGAAACTTACTTGCTTATGTCCTTGTAACGGGCAGCAAGGTACTGCTTTGCTGCATCAGTCAACGCCTGGACTGCTTCAGCCATTAGGACACTGGAAGGAAGCTCTAGATAAAGCAATGCAGACTCAGGTGTCATGGGCATATTCCGCAACAGCCGGCTGCAATACCTCATGCATGAAGCAACCTCAAATTTGTCGGCAGCCATCAGCACATCCAGTAAAGCAGGAGCTGAGGTGGTGGACAAGGTATTGCTGTACATAAAATTCAGGAGCTCCATGAGGGCAGCTTCTTCTGCAGACAGGAAAACAAGTACAACAATTGTAAGGTGACTTCATTAGGAACTAGTTTCTATGGACGCACAACACTAAAATTTACTAAATATAAAAGATAATAGTAAGCTTCTGAAATTTGTTCTCACCAGAAGCATTGATCCGCAAGGTTACATGTCGTTGTTCAGACTCCCTCATCCCATTTGAAAAGAGCTGCATAATAATACAATGGGGGTAAATGAGAAAAACCTTCCAGTGATAAGAACTAAAGGAACACAAATAACACCAGAGGACATTCACCTTATAGAAAAACGGACTCTTGGCCGCCAAAATTGGAGAGCTAATGTGCAACGTTTTAACTCTTACAACTGTAGAACAATCCATTCCCCAGTCTGAATCATTGCTGTTTGCAGCTTCATCCCCTACAAGAATACAGGTTCTGGCTTAGAAAACTTACAGCATGATAACACCCTAGGAAATTAGGAAATTAAACTGCAGAGCTCTTCCTAAGACTCTAAACTTTGCTCACGGAGAGGTACAATAACATACTGAACTAAGACTAAAGTATTAGTGTTTCACTCAGGTAATATTATTCTCATAAACTTTTGGACCCTCACTAAGAAATCTTAGACACACAATAGAAGATGAAACACCTAAGCAGAACACAATGCTATTGAAGCAGCTTTTTAAAATTTTAATTTTAATTTGTCTGGGTTTTTTTAGAACTCAGAACATAGAGGTCCAAGCATATAGGACAGATCCCATTCAAGTAAGGTTGTTTGTTTATGTGCTTTTCAAAATCACACAATTGATTAAAGATGCATTCAAATACCTGAAGGCGATTCTTCAACCATTGCAACTGCTTCCTCATCTTGATTTTCACAACCCTCACAATCATCCATATCAGGTTGATTGTCATTCAAGATTTGCTCCTCTGGGCATTCAGCGAGATCCGGAACTGAAAACAAATTCTAAAACATTAACCAGCATTACCCCAAAAAAATCATCATAGCATAATCAAAATGCATGAAATGAAGAGGCAAGCATGTGACTGAACAGTACCCAGATAACAGAAATCCCAAACTGAAATAACCAAAGGGAAAATAAACCAACTGAGAAACGGCAATTATGCCTTTGTCTTGTCCATAATTCAGTGTATTAGAAGCTTCCGTGTCTTTTACCCAATAATACAGGGAAACACCAAGTTGAATAAATGCAGGCCAAAAAAGAGTTGAACAAATGAATTAAAAAGTGAAAATTAAAATCCCATACTTTCTAGTTACTTTGGTTTCCAATAGGTTCAAGGTCAAACCCAGTAAGTCTTTGGGCAGTCATACGAGGCAGACAACATAGGAAGTAGAATCAAAATTTATATGAAATTAAATTGCCCGTACCTTCCATTTCCACAATTTTCTCAGCACCCAAACAAACAAAGAGAGTAAAGAAACGGACATAGATGTGCAATACTCCTCAAATAATAAGCTCAATCAAAAGTTTTCCATTTGGTTGCATCTGAAATTGATTTGAAGAAAGTGAAAAACGTCCTATAAAGCTCTCCCATTAGTTTAAGCGCACAATTATTCGGCCATAATCAATATCTCCAAAAATGAATCCTATGGTCGCCCTCGACAAGTACCAAATTTCAATTCTTCCATTTCTCATCACAAAACAGCTGTAAAGTAATGCCCAACACGAAACCCTAAAACCCCAAAATGTTCGTACTTTCTCGAATATCATCGATAACCAAACAACCCACACAATTAAAAAGCACGAAAAGAAGAAGACGTACTGTTTTCCTTCTTGATGTCCTCTCTTCTCCGCTTCCGGTGGCGGGCCCAATCAGCGATACTAGTACAGGCCTCGGAATCGGGTCTGGACTCGGGTGTGTCACCCATGATCTCGATCCGAAGCAGTCGGTCGGAGAAGTTACTGTCGTTGAAGGCGAAGGCGAAGTCGTCGGCATCGGCATCGGCCGACGGCGTCGCGTCCCGGGAGAAGTCGGGGTCCATGAGCGTACTTCTCGGATCGAATAGATCCGTATTCAATTCCTTCATCATTCAAAAACCTAAAACCCCAGAAGAGAAGAAGAGGGTGAAGTGGCAGAGTATGGGTAGAGGTGGTGGGATGGGATTTGTGTGAAGAGAGAGAGAGAGGAGAGAGAGAGAGAGAGAGGGGTGAATTTGAATCAAATGAGAAATGAGGAGGAGATGAGGAAGAGGGTCATAAAGTCGTGTGATAATATAAACTCTGAAGCGGCGGATGACCCCCCCTCTCTCTCAACCCCTTTGGTTATGTTCTCGTTTGGTTTTGTTTGTTACTCTCTTGACTGAAATTTCTGTCATTTGGGTTGGGTTTGGTTTGGTTTGGTTTAGTTTCTGTATCTGACTTGGATTATTAGTTTTAAGTTTATTGTTAGCAAGGAAAACACATCTAATTAGAGAGCGTGACAGGTCAATTAAGGTGGCCACATCATGTCTAATATCTACACTTTTTACACTCAATAAAAAATAAAAAATAAAGATTTCCAATTTTTCATTATTTATTTATTTTGTATTTTCATAAGTTTATTTATTCCTAACATATTTCATATAATTTGTTGGATTAATTTCTATTTCAAATTTTGGGAAATACTTTGGTGATTATAGTATTATTGGCATATGATATTGCATTAGGTTTTGGTACATATCTTGTTTAGTATTTCCGGTAATTAATTATTTAATATTGAGGGTATTCTAGAATAGAAAATTGAAAATAGAGAAGTATAGGTATATTGTTGTCTTCTTTGTTTGGATAGGATAAGACACTGACCAATGGGAAAAAACAGAAGAAATTATAATTTGCTTTTTGCTAATGAACTGTGGTTACTATATTAAGAAAATTTATGGGTTACTCATAGTGCCACATAGGCAACTAACGAAGAGATATGACACGGCAGAATTATATTATAACAAATTTAAAAGATCAGGGTATATTATTGTAAAAATTAAGAAGATAAAGACTAACATGTCTTAATGGTGTAACTATAAAGTACTAAATTATAATTAACCCAAAATTTATCTAAGCAAGTGACATGAAAGAAGAGCTGGAATTTGCCTTTTATGACCTGCTGTAAAATACTAAACTAGGGCTTTTTCTAGATCGAGAAAGGAACAGTTAAGGGTTTTCTTCTAGTTCTAGATGTAAGTTGTAAATTACCTTGTAAGTTGCAAATATTCAAAATAAAAAAATTCTAGAAAAATAGTAAACAACTAGAATAAAAAGATAAGAAAAATGATTATGCTAAATAAAGAATAATTTAGAACATCATGGTGTTTTCTTTCCACCATTGCAAGAATTTCATTAAATTAGTGGTGGCATGTTTTCACTTATCAAGAATGAGTATTACAATGATTCCAATTTCCGCTTCTTCTGTGTTTACTAATACATGGATATTGAAATGATTCCAATTCTTGAGTCATGACTTCCCCACATTTACTAACGCAAAAGGAATTAAAAATTATTCTTTATTTTAAGAAATTCTTGCAATGATGGTGTTTTTTTTTCCATCATTGCAAGAATTTCGTTCAATTGTATTATATGGCACGTATGTACAATATACGATTGAAGATCACTGTGTACTTATTTTTTTTATAGTTTATTTTGATTTTGTGTTCAAAACAAAATATGGAAAGAAAAAAAAACCCAAATCTCCCATTCTCCAAAATGGAGTGTTTCGTTAGAATTAAAATTAGAGCATGCTAAATGGCTGGTTGTGATGGCGGGTAGGCCACGAGAAAGCCCCTCCATCAGTGGCATGGAATTGGTCTCATAAATTAATGTCGTGTGGAAGGCTTGAAGGGTCCAATTAAGCCGTTGTACACAATTCCGACTTCTTGGTAAAGTCTAAAGTCAATCGTTCTACACGGTTTAAACGATAAAAATATGATCAATTTGCATGCCATTGCCAAATCCTTAACGGCGGAATTAATTAAAATTGTTTATTGGCCGCCGGCCAGCAATCGGTTTGGTCTACTGAGTCCGGGCTCAGATCGTTGGCCAAGTCCTGGATAATTTAATCCAAGAAAGTATAGTAGTGCTACCAAACAGTTATATTCTTTTGTTTGGTAATGGTATTATGTCCAACCAAGATGTGTACAAACAATGTATTGGGTAGGGTAAGAAGAGTAAAATATCTAGCTAGGTTAGGTGCCAACCAAAAATATTGGTCGGTAAGACCATAAACATCCTACCTTATTCCCAATCACCAAGTCCTGCCGTGCCGGCACCGTCCAGGGAATTCCGTTTTAAGTTCGGATAGTCTTCAGATCCCAAAAAAGAAGTTGGGATGGTCTTGCACTCTTTTTTGAGTTCATAGACTTGAAGAAGTTAATTAACAGTCCATAGACTTCAAGGAGGATCGAGCTATATATGCGAAAGACATATAATTAAGCTTGAAACTTCCAGTTGAAGAACTCTTCAAACTTCCATTATTTGAATAATCTGCCTTTGAGAACTTGGGGATTTCTATTCACTATACTAGAAAAACCAACTTCCCGGAAAATTATTTGAGGGACACCCATTAGGGTCCCCTATGAAACTTATTTTAATGATCCAAACTATTTATTTTTCACATCTTCATTCAGCGATCATTCTTGCAAAAAATCTTGTAAATTGAAAATCATTAAGGCATCTAATTGAGACAAACAAAATCAATGAACACGGTGTTTCAAGAAAGTATTTAAATTTCAATAATGTAATTGAGTGGTCAAATGATATCAGATTAAAGTGATTTTTTTTTATAGAGATGATCTTGGAATGAATATCTACAAAATAAACGGTTTGAATTAGTAAAATAAAATGTGGAGTGAGCCCTACAAAAGTGTCCATTAAATAAACTTATTTAAGAAATTACTCAATGAAAGCTATATATATATAATGACGTTCACAATGCCATTCCATAATCCATCGAGTCAGTTGGATAAAGACGTTAGTACAATTTGATTGGTAGGACGGTTGTGGTATGAACTTTAAACGGAGACTCCCCACAAGCTCCGCTTACCTTGATGTAATCTTATGACCGGAATTTGCCTTATTTCCACTTTGACGTACACTATCCTACACATGCACATTTTGATTTAGTCCTCAAATTTCATAAATGAATGGGCACATGTGGCTTTTTGGGCCTTGGACTCGTGTCGTTGAATTAGTACATCAAATCAACCCCCTAAATAAAAGCCGATCAAATTGTGCGAGCGCTGCTAGATATCGACTGAGCGGGGGACGCGTCCCTTTGAAGTTTATCTATCTGATTGCACAAAAGAGCATGCAGATAAGAATTGCTGTTTCAATAAAAATTGGTCTTTTATTATAAAAATGAAAAAAACGGTGCATTGACCGACCACCTCAAAGTTCTCAAAAGGGCACACAATTAGATAGAGATGGACGGCCAGCATCCACATGCATGCTACTAAAAACCTGATTAAAATATATGAACTATTCCCGCGGTTAAATTATCAAAATATTAATATTCCTTTATCGAGATAGGCAATTGACCCAGTCAAACCATGTGTCTATATGTTTGCTATGTACGTATTCAAAACACGGCTCCAGGAGCGAAATCCGACTTTTTATTTTCTGCGAGAATCGAACTTTGTAAGAGCATCTCAAAGGTGATGTCAAATACCAACAATTAAATTTAAATTTGATGACTAATGTAGTAATTTGATATCTTATATAACTTTATATTTCACCCGATATGTCAAATTAAATTATTATTTTATTATATTTTAATGTTGATTTATTTTAAATTAATAAATAATAAAATATTCATTTGACATCTTGTTTTTAGAATGTCAAAAATAACATATCAACCTCCAGCATTCATTCCATATCAGCTTTGACACATCGGTTAGAGTGATGTGATATGTTATTTCTAGTCGTTGAATGTCTATATGACACTTTTGACACATCAGTTGGAGATGCTCTAAGATGAAAGTGCCAACATAATTTCTATAATTGGGTTGCATTAATTACAAATTAGTAACTTTAGGACTCGTTTGAATGTGATTTTATAAAAAAACACTTGAGAAGTGCTTTTGTCACCGTAACTTAAAATCATTTAAAGTGATTAGCTTCGCATAGGAGATGGTTCTCCCATGAAGTAATTCTAACCTATCTAGAATCACTCTCAAACAAGCCCTTAATATGCAACACATACGCAATCTAATGATAATATGTAACAAATTATTAACATAAAATACTTATTATTTGCAGTATCTCCTAAAAAACCAATGTTTACAACAAAAGTAAGAAACAAATAACATTAATTTGGCATTGCGTATGCATGAACTTTGAATACAGAAATGGCTTTATGCGAAGTCTCTTCCTTCGATTAGTTTCTCAAGTCATTTGAGAACAGGTCCAAAACCGTAGATCGATGGATCTTGTTAATGTATTTTAAGGTACAAAGTTACACACATTGGAAAAACGCCTAAAACAAATCCATGGAGAATGTGGAAACATCTGATTTTTGTAGATAACAAAGAAAAGAGAAATTAACATGGCTTTTGGTCCCTTGTATCTGCATGTCCATGGTTTTGAAGTTATTCAGATTCACCAACATGAATTTTCTGATCGATCCTGCAAATCACCAAAGCTTAACAAAGAACACCATGTAGGTTTAGATATCAAATTCAAAGTGCATATATAGTTCTAAAACATTAAGAGGGAAACTGAAATAAAGCAGAGAGACAGAGACAGAGAAAAGGGAGAGAGAGAGGCCAATATGGAGCTCCCTTCAATCCAAGTAAGGAGAGGAGAAGGCAATCACATCTCCTAGGTCATGCAAACCCTTAAGCTGCGCACTTCAGTTTCATAACGTGCGCACCCCAGAGGTATCCATGAACCAGCAGCAGCGTAAACCATCTCCCCCTCCTGGTTTTGGACCAAAGGAAGCTCCCAACTAACACTCAAACAGTACAAGAAATGCTACCAAAAAGACAAACTAAAAAGAAGAAAAAAATAAAAAGAGAAAGCGGAAAAAGATGCCAATCTGCCCAAATGGTTGCTCTAGTTGTGA